CCCAACCAAACCCCCTTTTGGGAGCTGACGGTCATTCGATTCCAGTCTAAATCTTTAGATTTAGTCTTTTTTTCTCGCTCAAATGTTTCCAATCGTTCACGTTTGGACAAAACTCCTTTTATGTTTCAGTTACTCCCAAAATACAAGAATGTATCATCCCCAAAAAAAACCACAATTTACTCATTACTAGCACACAATGCGCTTGCACCGCTGTATCCTCATTACATTACTGTATTATTATTAAAATCGGTCCCGACTACCATCTGTAAAAAGCTTCCAGGTGAACGCGGACTCGCCTGTGTTTGCAGGCGGGCGACGATTTCCTTGCGAGCCTTCATGACGGACTCCAGTTTGCCGGTGACCATGATGGAGAGGCCCTGGTCCTTGGCCAGGGACAGCTCGATGTGAGCTCCCGTCCGCTGCATGATGTCCAAGCACACCTTGGCCTCCTCGCCTTCCCCGAACTGGTTGTTGTCCCTGTAGCGCCGCTCCTCCAGGGGCACGTGGAACACCTGCGCGCGGAGCCCAGTCAGTGGGGAGGAGGTTCTACTTTTGCATGACTGAGGTCAAACCCGTAAGCAAGCGCAATAACTGAGCATGAGCCGCGTGTGCGTTTGTGTACGTAGTCCGCGGCGGCCTCACCTGCGTGATGACGGAGGCTTTGATGGGCCTGATCTTGCACCCCCACGCCGAGGCCGGCTCCCCGGTCTTTTCCCCCGGCGCCCCCTTCTCCGGCAGCGGGGGGGAAGGCCTCCAGGTAGGTGGGGGATGTAGGCCTCGTCCTTCCGGGAACGCACCCTGCCCACAGGCCATTGAAGGATGAATGAGCAGGAGGACGGAGGTGAGGATGGAGAAAAGAAACACACAACGCGTGTGTTGAGAAAAGGCCCGGGGGGGGTGGGGGCGCTGACTTCACCTGTCATCTCGTGTCCCTGGAGGCCACTGCGGTGCTCCGCAAAGCTTTCCGGGGTCAACACTGCCACTGAGCTCATTGTTCAAGACGTATTCCACTTTTCCACTGAAAGCAAAAGGAAGTACAAAGAGACAAGACGCAACCCGTTTCTCTTACATCGCTTTTTAGAAGGGGGGGGGGGGGGTGACTTCGCTGCACCGCCGGTGCACTTTACACCTGAGACGCTCCAATTAAGACTTTGCATGCTCCAGACAAACACGCCTCAGGGACGACTAGGAGCTCTCTCTGAAAACCACACACACTTAGAAACTCTCTCATTGTCATCTTATTTTTTCTTATGCCAAGATTATGGGAATCACTCATTTCGACCTTATATTTTTGCTCTTTATATCTTTGCCAACCAAGATGTTTTATTCTCACTCAGACACACGTACTGCATCCCCTCCCTGTGAGATGCTGCTGTTTGTAATTTGATCACTACAGCCATGTGAGATCCGTCCCTGCTGGCAAAGACGCGTCTAACTCCTTCTGAAAGCAGAGGAAATGTGACCCCACTCAAAAAGGAACAAGATCCACCTCGAGGAAAAAAAAGGTCTTGAGGGAAATAGAATAAAAGCAAAAGGGGACACCGAGTAAAAGGCATGTCAGAAACCGACCAAACCACATAGCGTATTGTATGATAGTATTTTACAGAGGGAGCTTACCTGCAAAAGGTCGATGGCCAGAGAGTCCGTCCAGTTAGCGGCTACCGTCGGCGCTTCAGTGTGACTGTGTGTTTCAGCTCCTATAGGTGCACAGAGGTGGGGGGGGGGGGGAGATTTGAGTGTATTGAGCAGGTCGGGTCATTACTGTGAACAGCATCACTGCACTGCACCTCACACGCCGTCTGGATCGGCTTCACTCTCCTCCCCCTTTTGTAGTTAGACAAAAATCAATGGCCCAGGAAACTCGAGAGTAAGATTAGATTAAATGAGACTCGGTATTGTAGTTGGTAAATAAAATACAAACACACAAAGACTCTCTTTTTTTTCATACATTGGCTTTATAAGTTTAATGTTTTGGAAAATGTGGATTAAATGTTGCACATCAAATGAAGAAAACATCCAATTGTGCAGCCAGAATAAATGATCCAGTAAATTATCTCCAGCTCAACTAATACAACTGTAAAACGTTTAGTAAAGTATAGTTAGTATGTTAATAAGCCAATTACACATTAATGCAGCGATATCAATGAATGCTAATTCCACATTATAATTGACTTCAACTACCGTCTCACATGATTAATCATTGCACTTCCTATTCCTAATGTATATTTCGTTGTTAATTCTAACGCACATTTTCAAAACCCCTATTTGAATTATTTAAGCTGCATTATCGTCACACCGGTGACACATAATGAAACGGAACAAAGAAGGTGTCTCAGCTAAAAAACACTGTTTAACGCGGAAAACAAAACAAAAACACGATAGTTCCAGCGACGCTGTCCGCCGCGCACCTGCTAGCTAAACGCGCCTCCGGACGCGCCTCTCTGCGCGGCGCGGCGCCGCTCCCGTCCCGCTGGTCCCCGTTAGCTCGGAGGCTAAAAAAAACGTTTTTAAAAACGTCGATGCTGCCGAACATTAGCCAGCCTCGCTAAGCTAAAGCGGACGTCCTCGGCCGGCGGAGGGGGGGGGGGGGGCGATTAAGCGCAGGGACTTTCTGATAATCGGCTAAAAAAAAAAAAAAAATACAACACGCCGGGCGGACGGATCACCAGCTCTCTGTGCTCCGGGGAGGGGATGGGGGGTGAGAGAGAGGGCGGGGGGGGGGGGAGGAGAGGGGGGCTAACCTCGCTAACCCGGGCAGCTTCTCGTCACGGGTCGAAACCGGCTCCCCCTCGGTGGGACGCGCGGGTCCGGACGTTTAGCGTGAAACAGCGACGGGGTGAGAAGAATAGAGAATTCGTACCTCTCAAAGGGGAAGTGTGGCGGGGGACGCGCGTCTGACAGGTGACGCCGCAAACACTGATGCGATTGGTCTACGAGCGTTTCCTCTGTCGGCGGAGGGATACCGGCGTGCGCCGCGACTCGCGGGGTATAAAGCAAATGCCGCAGTATCTTTGCGCTACGGGAGCATCCAACTTAAGTAGACCCGCTTGATTTTAGTTTCACCGCTCCCAACTTGCTGTCATTTTCAAATGTTAAAGAGGCACACAGGGTGTCCGGAGGGGTAATCGATAGGGGAAATAATGTTTCAAGTGGGCAGCACTCTGTCTAGTAATGTCTAAAGTTGGTCAAACTGACCGGGTCTACTTATCATTCATAACGGACTGTGTACTCTACACATGGCTCCACGGGAATAAAAAAACACATAATTGTTGTGTTGAATGCACCCTAAATATTATGGATACATTTTCAGCATGAAAGGAACACTCATTATTCATTATTAATAATACAGATACAAAATATAATAATGGTAGGGTTTTTGTAATGCAAATTATGAGCACACATTTGGAATCAATACATTGAAATTCTGACATTTTCATGTCATTCAAAAGTTTACTCAAAAGTTTGACATGACTTCCTAAGTCAAATTATTAATATTCTTAAACTTGAAATAGGGAGGCAAAATTCTGGATTACTACGTAAAAGGCAGGACAACACAGATGAGGCATTTGGTTCAAAGTTTGCATTACTAATTTAGAAATATTACATATTAAATAAATAAGGTATCCGATATATTAGAATCCCTTTTTTTTGCACACCATAAATCCAAGATCTACATCAATGGCCAATACTGTCTGTTCCGATCTAAAGCACTAGGTGGAAGAAGCCAATACAGAGGTTAGGGGAGGGACGTATGTAGTAACCAAGCGCCTCCTTCTGTGCACTTGTACCGTCGACCACAGAGAGTTGTTATATCCTGTAACGTTATACTTCCATTTAGGGGCAATGGTCACCATAGCGTGATATTATTTAACTGCGTTGGTCGTTAAAAAACAAATGTGAAATATGGTAATTTAATGTGTGACTGTATCTCAGTTTGAAACAGCACGTTTTTCTCTGTTTAACGAAAGGCAGCAAATACTTTGCCGTAAGTTGCAAACAAATTACACATCATGTGATACTTTTACAATACCAACCATAAAATAAACAAATATTTAGACATTTCAGCTTCTGGGATAGTAGGTGTTTGGACGACCAAATGAGCGTGAAGTCTATGATAAACACCCAGGAAGTGACAGAATTGAGGCATTTTGGCCTTCAAAATAAGGCTTCTGCTATAAAATAACATTCCTGGAGCTCTGTAGATTTATTTTCAAGTATAGTTTCAAACTTCTGAGAAATTGCCTGGTGAAAGCATGTATTAGATTATATGAAATATAGGTCGATTTTGGAATCCGCCAGCCTTGGACAAAAAGTGAATTGCAAAACTGAGAGTATTATTGCATATACTGTATGCTTCACAACTTGTATGCAGTTTTATGTTGTCAATTTATAGGATTCAGTTCATTTTAAATCTCAAGGAAATAAATGGGGATACAATTCACGATTCTATTGTTAAAGGTGAATAAATGCAGGTAATAATTAATTCAAATAGTTTGAATTGGATTTCTGTAGTAGGCATTGCTCCAGCACTAATAGCCTCTATATTTTGATATTTATTAGTTGTAATTGGTTCAAATGTGTTTTAGCATAATTTTCAGGGTTAAAAAAGTATGCATTTTATATTTTATACAAGTTGTGTTCCACATAGTTTGATTCAGTTGTACTATAACTTTATTGTCCCCGATGGTAAACAAATCTTGAAGCCAGGAAAACTACAGAACACATACGTAAATAAAGAGTAAACATTACAAAATTCATATACATTCATAGTCATACGTATTAGAAAATATGCACAGAAAAATTAAAACATATACATCAGCTGATGGGGTATCACCTGTAGTACATCCATCCATCATCATCCAACCCAAATAATTGTTGAAATGAAAACATTACAGCATTTACCAAAAAATTTAGCACAAGAGGACCATTTTCTGCAACATCACAGGCATTTAACCCACCTTGCGTTTAGACTTTATTCTGAAATCCCCGACAGGAAGCTGAGAACGTCATGACGTGGGTTCGACGGTTGACGCTCCCGTGGGGGTTGTTGGTCTCCTGCCTGCCGTCTCCTCCTCCGATACACGCTGCCGGTAACAAAGGAGACAACAACGTCGGGATGGTGTGTGTCAGAGTATCAAAAACAACCTGAGCCCGTTCGCTTTTACGTCGTGGAGCATTTTTGTCTTAACAGCATATTTAACGACTGTCTTTTTTCCCCACCTCTTTCTTTCTGCGGGGCGAGTTACGTTCAAAGTAACGTCACATTAACGTCGCCGCGCTCGGTTATTTTTCCTCGTTTTTATCTTTATTTTTTCCCTCGCCGAGCACGTGGGACTGACAACACCAGAGCCGAATAACCGACGTGGAAGGACCCGACATGCCCCGAACAACATTGGTGAGGTTTCCTTTATCTTTTAACTGACATGAACGGTTTAGTTAATTACTGGTCGTTTCGCAGGTGAGGTTTGGTCGACGTTTATTCGGGAAGCACCTGTGCCCCGAAGGAAACCCCCGTGGCACCTGTTAAGGGTTTATAACGTCATAGCGACGTTGTCATACTAAAATGTAGTTACTATAACTTTTCTGGTATTTCTGTAGAATTCCTTAAAGAATAATCCCATTTTCTTAATTTGGGGTTACAGGGTTTATTGCTCGATTCCCACCTAGTGTGAGTGTGTGTTTGTGTGTATGAGAGAATTTATCTTTGTGTGTGTTTTCCTTTACCGTCCCTTTCTTCCTGTCCAATGTGGACACAGAAGGACAGCATTGTGTTGATGGGCGGCCCCGTGAAGCACTTAAGGGTTGATTGAAAGGATCACACCATATCTCATCGTAGTTGTCTCTTCCAGGACAAATAGACTTATTGGAATGAATGTCCGTCCCACTGACCCAGTCTGAGTGTGTCCAGTAGACTGGAGGAGCTATTGAAACTAACCAGGTCAATAGAGAAAAAGGAGCCCCCCCCCCATCCCCCGAAAAAGGGTGGTCTGACGTCTGCTGGCGGCTGATGGAAAGAAAGTCAATAGGGGAATTTTTGCACGACACGCACAACCGCAACACGTTGTCCCCGCTGCGTGGAGGACGGCTTGGTTGGTGCACACGCCCTCCCAGTTTATGAGGTTTATGAGTCTCCCCGTGGAAAATGATAAGAGAAGAATGACGTTGACGCCCACGGTGTCACCTTACCTGTGAGGGGCAAAACAAAAGTGCAAGAACGAGAGTGTCCGTGTTGTCCTCCTGAAGCTGTGACATTCATCCTGCGCCATTGTCCCAAAAACCTCATACTGTTTTCAGTGCGAAGGAAACAGGAAACCTAAAACCTGAAAAAATTATAACCTCAGCAGCTGTGCAACATTACAAAGTGCTTCCCAAACTGGTCCGACGAGCCGGTGCACTTACGCAACGACACAGGAGCTACTGGTTCTTTGTTATTTACTTTATTGGGCTGGTCCCGTCCCGTCGGGCCATCGTATGAAATAACTGGCGCTTTCTACAAAAAGGAACAGCCTTTAATCCTGTGGTGTACTCCGCTGATTTGATCGTGCTCTCGCATACAATGTGGGTGACTTTGGAGAGGCATATTCAAAAAAGGTCACCAAAGCTGAGATGTCTGTGGTAAGCGTTTGAGGATTGTGTGCTGTTTTTAAGATATAAAATCGTCATCGATATATATCGAGCTGAGAAAAACACGACAATCCTGAGATTGGAGGACATGAAACAAGTGACTTTTATCCTTTCTTTGGTGTTATTTCTGGTCGTCATCCGTCAAAGCGATCGCTTCAGCGTCTGCTTGTCGTATTTCAGACGCTCGCTTCTTAATGATGACTCAGTAGATGACTAACCCGCTATCAGCTGTTGCGCACACACGCACGCACAAAACAGCCACCACGAGGAGAATCTGCAGCATGTCCCATTTGTTCGTCCCAGAATGGGACGGCGCGGTTTATTTTAATGGGCTGGGAGAAGATTCTCGTTGGCCGTCTTCATATAAATCACAAGAGTGCTCAGAATGCGGATGGACACATGCCATTTTAAAGGAGGGTTAGGAAAGGGTGTCGAGTGCGTCATTGTGTTTCCGGGCGTAGCAGGACTCACTTCTTTTTTTTTAATGATGGATATGGAAGTAAAGACCTCAGACGTGGTCGCTGCTGGAGTCCTGTGAAGGTACGCAGGGTCAAAGGTGAAAGATCAGGAGCAGCTCGCGGCTACTCAAACTGCACAGGAACGAGTGGGCCGGGTGGCGAAATCATAAAGGCCCTTTACGTATTGATGTCGTGGTTAACTATTAATTGAAATACTACATTGATCACAGTTTTACAGGGTTTTAAAATAATTTCCGTGCAGGCGGACTGTTTGCTTGAGTAAATGTGAGGCATCTCACATCATTGCGATCGAAAAGGAAGAAATCCCTTCATGCGTCACCTTGGAAACATCTCAGCTATAAAAATCACCTATTTCCTTTGTAGGAATGTGTTCTCGTTAAATGAGTGCACAGCTTACAGGGCAAAGTTCTGACGTCTAACAGTAAGGGGATAAAAATCACACAGCCTGTAAATAAGATTTCTTAGATTATGCTGTAATGCAAATACTGAATTAAACGGTTAATCTCATCAGAAAAAGCGACTGTAATTGCAATTGATTGAGACATTGCATCTGCTAATGTCAAACTGAAGTTAAAGTTTCTTTCCCTTTGTCCTCCCTCACCAGGTGACGATGCCACGCTCACATTGACCTCTGCCCCCGAAAGCCATAAGAAGAAGAAGAAGAAGAAGCCTCCGGCCGCCATGTCTGTCCAGGAAACGCTCCAGCGGTCCCCGTCGCCGCGCCCCCCCAAGCCGAGACCGGATATCCCTCAAAAACCGCCTCCGAGAACCGGCCCCACTCCCCCGGGAGGGGGCGGCGGCGGCGCGAGGCCCCAGGGGGGGAAGGTCAGGGTGATTGTGGAGAAGTTTAGCGAAGTGGATCTGAGAGAAGCACCGGTGGAGCGGCTCGCCAATGGCGCCGCGCAACCGCCGCTGACAAAACGCTCCAAGAGGTCGCCCACGGTGAAGCCCAGGCGCCCCAGCCTGCAGCCGCCGGTGGGAGCGCCCCCGCTGCCCGTGAAGAGGAAGGCCCTGCAGGCGGAGAATGACGGGGGAGACGAGGTGGAAGGAGGTCGATCAGGTACTGAAAGTCGTTTCACTTACCTGTGTGCAGTAAGGACACGTTGTCAAGCCAGTTTACTAATTATTAGTCCAAATATTTAGTACGGGATGGCCTGTGAGGGTAGTAATTATAACAATAGTTGTCTTGCTTCCAACCTTTTATGGCAAACCTCAGTAAGGAGTCATGTGACTTTGCTTTCACTTGAATTAAGGTTTGTCTTTGTCGCCGTTCAGAGCCGGCCAACGCTTCAAGTAGCTAATCAAAGCTTTTAGTCAGCGGGACAAAAAAAATCAATTGACTAAGTTTTACTGACTCATCGTATCCTCTCACACAACCTGCGCCACAGACTGACAGAAAACATCTTCATGCCATGCGTGCATGACAGTTGTGCGTTAACTGGATTGAAATGTGTAATTTGTAGTATACACAGTGTAATTAATCGGAATGGGAACAGCCAGGTGTGGTTGCTCTGGAGAAACATGAGCCATGAACAGGTTCTGTCTGTCAGCCGGTCGCGCTTGATGTGTCATGTTCAGCTTCTGATGTCCGGCTGAATAAATCGCTCTGCAGCCGTTCGTGTGCCGCTCTCACTTCCTTGTTTTGGTTCCCCCTCAGAAACAATAACCCTTCGAAAACGTCACATTCTCTGGCGATACATCCACAATTCATCAGAATTGTTTTTTCATGTTCTCAATTTGAGAACTGATTTGTCAGTCAGTCATTTTACTGACAATTCTGAAAAATAATTGAGAAGTTCGGTCCAGAGAATGTTTGGTATTTGTGTCACTGACAATTTAATGGAATGAATAATCTTGACTTGTTGATTAGTTTATCCTTTCAGCAATTAAGCTTAATCTAAAGAACCAACGCCATGGCCTTTTATTTAAATAGCTGACAAGGAATGTGTGAAAAGTGCAATTTTTATTCAAAGTCATAAATCGTCTTGTTTAATATGAAAATGTCCACAGTGAGTTTTAGTTTTTTTTCTTCAACCCTCTTTTTCTTTTCCTGCCATATAAACTTCCTGCTCTCTTGGTTCTCTCTGTCTTTCCTCAGCCTTTTCCATTTCCTTTAGTCAATATTTGATGTTTCAATTAAATATTAATAATCATTTGAATATTCGAGAACCCCACTTGCAGACACGTTGTATTTATTGACTTTCGTAAATACACCCGCAGGACCAAAGTGGACAGGAAGCAGCTAACTCCTATTAGCCAAAAAATGGCCTAAATGTATTTTGTAGGGGATTTATTTGCACCATCGTCTCAAAGCGACTCATCTCTGTTGCCCCTTCTCCACGCAGCGCCCGACGGAAAAGAGGTAGAGGTCCGGCTGGTCGGAAGCGGTGAGGCGGAGGTGGAGCACAGTCCTCTCACACCCCTCAGTCCGTGCTGCGAGCCGAGCTGCAGCTGCTTGTGCCACCTGCAGCGGCCCGGGATGAAACTCATATGGGTGCCCGTGGACACGGATGATGGCGAGGAGGAGGAGGAGGAGGAGGCCGAGGAGGAGGGGGAGGCGGAGGCGGAGGAGGGAGGAGACAAGGATGAGGCCGATGTGGTCGAGCACAGGGGGGAGAACGAGCAGCTTTCGGAGGAGGACGTAGAGGTAACGCTGAGCGGGGGTGAGGACAGCGAGTCGGAGTACCAATTGGTGCCGGAACTAAAAAAGGAACCGTTCCACCAGAGCTTGGACGTTTTGCACAGCGACGTCGGCAGACGGCTCTCGGACCCGGGCCCCCGCCCCGTCCCCCGCGTTCCCAACGTCCGCGGCTCGCCCCCTGTTCCCCCGAAGCGGAATGTGTTGCCCCAAGTCCGCGGCCCGTCCGCTCAGAAGGAAGAGGAGGACATCTACGAGGACAACATCTACGAGGCCACGCTCCCCCAACCCCCTGCCAGCAAGGCCGCCGTGGCGTGTAAGGAGCTACCTACGCCGCCCCGCCGGTCCGACCTGTCCTCCAGCAACTCGGACCCGACCTGCGAGTTCCAGGGGGGCGCGGGCGACATGCCGCCCGCCGTGCCGCCGAGGATGCCCCGGGTGCTGGACGGGCCGGTGCACGGGGGCATCCTGCTGCCCCAGCCCATGCTGGAGGAGTGGCGCAACCTGCGGCACTTTCCCACCAGCGGGCCAAGCCCCCAGACGGCCCCCCCGCCTCCACCACCCAAGACGGATCCCAGGAAGGGCAGCATCATATCATTGCAGCCGCCGACGCGGAAAAAAGGTGCTTGCCGAAAACAAACATCGTTATCTCCGTCTGCGATGAGCTATAACTGATTGATAAATTGTTCATTTTTGTTCTGAGTAATCAGACGACTTCTTTTCCTTGTCATTTCAGAGGGAGAGAAGAATGGAGGGAATGAAGGAGAGAAGGAGGACGCAGCCGAAGAATCGTGAGTTACACCCCTCACTTTGCCTCCAACCTCCATTTTTAAAAGGTTTACAAGGACGAAGATGTTTTTCTTAGTTTTTAGATTTTAAAGACCAAAGCCGCCCATTGATGGATCATTTCAACACGTATTGACCGTGTAGCTACTAACTAAACCAATAAGCCACACGGGATGTTTCGCCTGCTGTGGTCAAAACCTACCAGCACACCAAATATGTATTCCTACGCCTCTGAAAATAGTAAGCCTTTCTAAAAGTATTTGAGTCATCAGTCATGCCGTCGCTGGGAGCCGCAGAGGGAGTAGATAGTATTCAACACATTTTTGGCTTTGAGCTTCTTATCTGATTTGGCGAGCCAGCCTTTTCCTCCAAGTCAACATTATAGTGTTTGTGTGTTGATGGGGTAATCATTAACTGTGCCATTCGATCTTTTGATGGATCATTGTGTCTCAAATCCCCCTGGTTGATCCCTGTTTTAGGCGTCCTGTCAGGATCGGCTCCCTCAGGAGGATGTCTTCGCTCAGCTGGGAGTCCCGGCTGCAGGATGGTAAGTCTGGACGTAATGTCTGCACGTTGGTGTGTCAGCCGGCGCCATTTATCACCTGTCGCTGTCACTCCCGGGGGATTAACCGGGGACCCTCGCGACCCGTCTCTCCCCCCAGAGCCTCTGTACCAGACGTACCGCGCCACCGTCATCACCAAGGAGATCCGACGGCAGACGGTGTGCCGCAACATCAGTAAAGCCAGCGTGGACTACGCCATGGACTGGACGATGCGTCGCCCCGGAAAGGGGACCGCCGGCGGGTCACCGAAGGGCGTCTCCACGCCCGTGCAGAGCCAGAGCACCCTGTGGCAGGACCTCCGGGCCGTGCAGGAGGCGGGGGTGCTGGAGCAGCTCACCCCCGAGCAGTGCAAGTACCAGGAGGTGAGGAGGGAGGGGCTAATGGGCCGAGGGGAGATAGGAGAAGGCAAACGGGAGATGCGGTATCAAGTTTGGAATCACATCTTAAAGTAATAATGTGGTGTGGGGAGGGAGGGAGGGAGGGACGGGGTTGTTGTATCAATGAAGATCTACTCTGCATGGTGCTGCAATATCATATCGATTCACTGCATACCAAGTTCATGAAAGCTTTTACCAACTTTCCAGCATATCAGGGAAGGAAAAAATAGGAAGTGAGATGGAGCATAACATTGTACTTGTAGCACAGCATTATACTCTTTTTGGCTCGTGGGGCGGAGAATCAAGTAAATGTTTTACGCAGGAAACCTACAATAACACCACGGTGTCAACTTTAAGGTATTAATTAATATCTGTGCTTTTTCGTCGCTGGCAGAGTATGTTTGAGGTTTTGACATCCGAGACCTCTTACCTTCGATCCCTGCGGGTTCTGACCGAACACTTTCTGAGCAGCCGGGAGCTGGAGGAGACGATGATCATCAGAGACAAGAAAACGCTGTTCTCCAACATCCTGAAGATCCGAGAGGTCAGCGAGAGGTGAGAAACGGCGAGAGGAAGGATGAAGGGAGGTAAAGGAAATAGGCGAGGTGATTGATGACTTGGTCTATCATTAGGTCACTGGGCCCAAAGATGGCAACAAGGAAGGAAAAACAATGATGTCAAGAGTGTATTGAAGCCTGGTCTTTGTCTGGTTGCTCTTTTCCACTCGAGACCTTTTTATGTATAATTGCATCCTTTACTCTCCGACTCCACAGGTTCTTGAAGGACCTGGAGGAACACATATTCAAGGAACTGGTCTTTCCGGACATCTGCGACATCATCAACTACCACGCCCAGCACCACTTCCCGGCCTACATCGACTACGTCCGCAACCAGATCTACCAGGATAAGACCTACAGCTATCTCTTGTAAGGGAATATTTCACAAATAAAGTGTTCATTTCATGGAGTGGGTTGTATTCATCCGCAGCATTTTGTAAATGTTCGGGGTGAACCAAATTCCACAGCAGGCAGGGATTGTTAATGTGGTTCAATTGAGTTCCATCCACATTATCACTTCACACAGATATGAACATTTGAGCTTCTCGTATGCCCGTTGATGTTTGTCGACAGGAAGAACAACACACAGTTCGCCACGGTCATCACTCGTCTCCAGGAGTCGCCTCAATGCCAGCGGCTTCCCTTCATGTCCTTCCTCCTGCTGCCCTTCCAGCGGATAACCCGCATCAAAATGCTGCTGGAGGTGAGCGACAGCGCGGAACCACAGTGGTGAAATGAATACAGCACAAACAGGATTAGCGGAGGTCAAAGTTGCAGGAAGCAAAGCCTTCAGTTTGTCAACAGATTAAACAAAAACGGACATACGTGTTAATTACAGAGTTTCAGTGTATTTTTACAGTATGCTGGTTCATTCTGTACAACTTTGTTTGCATTTAGACGGATAAGAAGGTGACAGGGAGTCGCCGTTTGTCATTTCAGAACATCCTGAGGAGAACAAAGGAGAAGACGGATGAGGAGCAGACGGCCTTGAAGGCTTTGAATTCGGTGTCGAAGGTAAACGCCCCTCACTCTTCGCCCTCTCTTCTGCCCACGAATGCGTATCGTTTGACTCCAGAGTGCCTCGCACGCCTCTGGATGTTTTGTGTCAGCCATTGTCTGAGGAGAAGGATCCCCTGTTCAAAGAGCTCAGCGGTGACAGCGAATCATACGGGTCACTAAGGACGAAGGCGTCTCAGACAGGGGGACATTTGCCAAAGCAATGCACCCGATACTCCCGCCGAGACGGAGCGCCGGCGGAGGGGAATGTCGGGTTTGTAAGCGTGGAAAGGAAATAAAACCTCTTGCTAAACTGCTCTCGTCTCCCTGTTCCCCACTTTGATGATCGCACAGATCATCGACGAGTGCAACACAGAGGTGGGAAAGATGAGACAGGTGGAGGAGCTATACCATGTCTCTAAAACACTGGAGTTTGACAAGCTCAAGGTAAATCCGAGCGCACACCACTCATTCGTCAGCATTGAGCTCCTTGGACATTTATTTTGAAGGGATTTGAGAGGGATTTGGATAAGATACTTGTCTCCTCCAGGGCGTCCCGATCATCTCCCAGACGCGATACCTGGAGAAGAAAGGGGAGCTGCAGGAAATGTCCAGAGCGGGAACCATCTTCAACATGAGGCCAAAGTTCAACACCGTCTACCTCTTCCTCTTCAATGACCTGCTCATCATCGCTGTTAAGAAAGGGTGAGGCAGAATCGATGGATTTTAGACAGCAGTAAGAGGCTGCAGGGACGGCAGTGTCCACGGCAGTGTCCAAAGTCCCAGAATGAAATAGCCCCACAACTGGAGATTATGGACAGAAATCCACTATGCGCGGAGGATGAATCCTCCGACCTCTCCTCAAGCGCGATCAGGACACATGCTGACGTTAGCATTTAGCTCACAGAACGGCCACATTAGCACGACTCCAGTCAAGACTACTGGTCGCTTTAACCGGGCGGGACATTTATACTTGTCAATCACATTTCTGCAGAGATGAGGGAGTGCCAAACACTGTCTTTCATGTCAATGATCAAAATGTGTGTCAACCTTCAGCCCAAACACACTGATCTGCGCAGGATGCTCATCTTTTCATAACGTATGAGGCAGAGCTGAATCAGCAGTGCACTCAACAGCCAACGAAATGCAAGCAAAGCACAAACCTTGTTCAAGCGGCTTCTAGAAAACAATACGATGACACTCTGTAAACTCTGTAAATCATTCGTTATGTAATGCCTAAGGAAGATAAATCATGGTTTATCGTTATCCGAAATAGAGAGGAAGGAGCGACCTAATTACATTTCAGATATGCCATGGATGTTGCCACATAAGACGGCAGAAATGAACGCAAAGGAGTCAGATACAAAATGCAGTTGAGAACATAGCATGTGCCTCGATATGTATCACTTCATATGATTTTGTCCTTTAAGTCCACTCCACCCTAACAACCACAAAAAAAAAAAAAAACACCTGTCTTTTTGCTTTCACAGCCCGGAGCGCTTTGTGGTCCTGGACTACGCCCACCGCTCTCTTGTGCAGGCGCATTCCACGGGTGAGAGCGGGGTCCCCGTAAGCTCCTTAGAGCACTGCTTCTGCCTCACCCTGCTGGAGAACCACCAGGGACGCATGGTGGAGAGGCTGCTCAGAGCTCCCTCCCAGTGAGTAGCCCCCCCCCCCCCCCCTCCCCTCCCAGGAAGGATTCAAGAGCTTTTATTTTTTGTTAGTCATGTTCCAGTTTGTCCTCTCTTATTGTAAGCTGATTGTCCCTGTGAACAGGTCAGACATGCACAGGTGGATGGCGGCTTTCCCAAATCCGACCAACCCGGACCAATACGAAGAAGAAGTGGTTTATGAGGACTGGGGTGAGGACACACACACACACCTCCCCACCCCGAATGCGCCCTGAGTGAATTCACCAGAGACGTTTGAGGGTTGCAGGCCCGAATGTCATTGGGGTATAGGCGGCGAAGCGGTGGTCAAAATGTTCGCCGGAGCGAGGCGTGGAAGACGAACATCTCGCACGGAGGGGGAAGAGACTCCTTTGAAGCTACCGACAATCTTACACGTCCCCCACAAAAACGAGGGGAAAAAGGGGGTTAAATGGGGGTCTCTGACACAAAAAATGAGAAATTCGACTGGACACGTAATTGCTTCTCTCAACGCACAACTACCTCGCATTAGACGCACCCGACCTCAAAAACGCGCGCACAGCATCACGCAAACAAAAAAAGTTTATCGACTTTCCACTCTCTCGGCCTGAGAGCACAGAAAAACTTCCGCGCACGATCACTTTTGACCCCCCCCCCCCCCACCTCTCGTCCCACTTCTTTCTCTCAGGCTGTTACGAAGGCATACGCCTGTCTGACGGTCAGAGGGGCTGGTTCCCCGCAGCCAACGTCATGGAGATCACCAACGAGCATGTGAGGCGGCGAAACCTCCGGGAGCGCTACCGGGTCATGCAGGCGGCGACCATGGTCGCCGGCACCAAGGGAAACACCTTGCATAAGGACTCGAAGATCAAGGATGTTTAAAGTGTGGATACAAACGCTTGCAAAAGAAAACGAGTGTGAAGCGGGGAGTTTGGGACTGTACTACTGAGAGGGACACACTATGTGAACGTGCACGCGTCCACTCAGTAACAGAGGTCTCCTCGTGCACGGCTACCAAACTGTCGATGCGAACAAGCGATTCCGACATCGGCATCTCAAACACGAGACCTCTTGTGACGTTGTCATTAAAGCCAGAATACAGGATAAACTTTAGAATCCAAGAAAATAAAAAATAAAAAATTGTGACACTCAAGGAATTTAACACCTCAAGAAGGTCAAAACCAATTAGGAAGTGCCTTCGAATGACCGGACAACACACCGGACCTTCAATCTGCACCGAGCACAAGAGCTCTGGGAATGCATGTTCATGTTTGGAACCACTATGGAGGAATACTGTAGCGCCCCCTGCAGCCGGTTGTCAGTAAAGACTGGATATTATTTTGTGGATGGATCATGTGCAATGTGTTGTAAATAATGAGTGCGGGGATGATTATCTCACAACAAAACACTAGTGATTTTATTAAAAATGTTTTTTTTTTTATTAGATAAAGGCTCAATGTTTGATCATTTTTATTGAAAAAAGTGACAAGCAGATTCTCATTCTCGAACTTTCTGGTGAATACCAAGATTAAAACATGAGCTAACGGTGCAAAGAACTGGTTTCCATAGTGACAGTAAACTAAACCCGGGGGCATGAAGACCCTCTGGTTCGGATCTGCTTCTAGATTCGGTCCCTCTCCATCGGGCCGAAGCCGCTCAAGAGGACGTCCGCCGCCTCGAGCTCCAAATCTGACCAACAATCCGCGAGCGGCAGCGGACCAGCCGCTCTCGCACGTGGCACCTCGCTGCAGAGGGGCCCGAGGGCCCCCGTCAGGGTCTCCTCACTCCGGAGAGGCACTTCTTGGTGGTGCAGTTTCAGGAGATTAGTGACGGCCTGGTCCTCCTCCTGGGTAAGCTGGACGACGAGCCGCCTCGGCCCCGCAGGAGGACGCGGAGTGTTTACCCTCAAGGAGAGGCTGCCCAGGTCCCTGGTGGGGTGCGTCCCCCATCTGAACGGGGCGGGGCGGCTCGGTGGAGAAGGGAATGCCGACATGACTGGTGGTGGGGTGTTGAGGCGGAAGCAATCGAGAACCTGATGGAGGGAGATGAGGATGGAGGTTTGAATAAAAATGTAAATGGTAAAAAACTGTCCAATTACATGAATTGTTATGCTTCTGTGCTGCGGTCATTTTGTGTTGCTTTCACAAAACGATGATCGTTCTAAAAATGAACAGCTTTACTGCCAAAACAAACTGCCTCCTATTGCACTCATCTCAATTTCCTTTGCCGTGGACAGGCTCTAATCTAGTCTGAGCCAATGTTATTAGATGTCCCTCCACGCAGTCTGGGTTCATATTGAAACATTGAGTGAAGAATGTCACATGTACATAAATGGTAGTTTGTCACTAGTCTAGTTTACCTTTGATTAGTGTTCAACTACTGGAGGGTTACAAATGCAGCTGTGACCAACCCTTAAAGGCCTGGGCCGATTAATATACAGTATTCTGTCCCGTTAAGCCTGTATGTACGGGCAAATTATCTCCTGGATAGAAATTCCATCGCACTGCCAATAGTCACATTTATGGAGAGTAAAAAGTTCAAAAAGTATGAACATGTGGGGGTCAATTGGGGTTGTGGCAGCCAGTCTTCAGATGAGCTTACCCTCAACTCAGTGAGCGCGTTGGGGACCCTCCTCCCACAGCTCATGGTGGGATCGGTGTAGAACAACTCTGCTGGGGTGATGACGGGCACTGACGAGAGTGGACACGTCAAGAGCGGAATAAAGCTTTAAAACGTGATGGGGGGGCGGACCTGACTTACGCGTTGGGTTGCGCCGGTTCGTGCGATGGTGCGCAAAATCCGCAGCCATGTACACAGGCATGAAGGAAGGGTGGCGCAGCGTCCTGCTGGAGAGCGGAGGCACCGTGGGTCGCCTGGACCCCTGAGGAGAAACGGGGCCACGTGGACTTAGTCGTCGCGCGCAAAAGGCAGATGTTCGGTTGGAGACAACGTGGGGGGGGGCAGATAACTCACATGTCCTTCGGTGTGGTTCATGGTGCACTTTTCGGCTCGACTTTGTAGCCTCGATGTGGAAAGAAAATAAGTCGTCCAGGTCGCTGGTCCACTTAAACACTGATTTAGATTCTGTAACGTTGATTTTCATCGGGCAGCTGGTGGCAGAGAGCCCCCTCTGCTGTTTTAACTGCACAGTAACATGTACCAAACCTTTCCCGACCTCAACTCATGGTAATAAAGTATTCGACACAAAGTTAAGAACAAAGCTTTATTCAATTCAAAATTTGCCATTTAAAAAAATTAGACATCTTTCAAATTTGGGCAGGAGTCATTTTAGTTCTCATGGATCGGGGTGCTCCTGTAAAGAGATGACAAGTTAGTAAGTGAACCAAGTGAGACCATTTTTGAATATGGGTTTTAAGTGCTGACCTTTTCTTAAAACACTTGCAAAATTGTGAAATTTAGAAACTTTGTAGCGAGCAGGAGGCTGCAGGGCTGACATGTACGAGCCAGGATAACTGCTGCCGATTTGAAGCGGGCCAATGGGCCTCGTGGTGGAACCGTGCAGACCTACAGCACCAAAAGAAACTCAATAGGATCAATAACTGATTAGCAATAACTGCACGGTTATGACCCGACAAGTGGGAGGGAAAACTACTGTACCTGCGAGGGGCTCTGTGGTGTGGATGATCGTGCCGAGGCCAGCGACATCTGACTCAAACTTGTACACTGAGAAGAGGCGATGCAGACTAGCCACAGGATATGTGCACTGTGCCAGCACCCTGTAAGGAACAAGTTTTATGCCAAACCAGTATTTTGCACAATCACTTAACGCTGCATTGACACATACCTCCCAGTAGCATCGCCAGAAAACACTTTACTCTTACTGAGGTACATCTTGCTGCTGTAGAAAATCTCATTTTGATAAGTCACATTTCCCTTGCCGAGCTAAAAACAAGACATTAGAAATTAGTGACATTTGGATTAGTCATTGGTTCAATGGGTACAACGTTTCAAAACACTGCACAAGTACCTTGATCGAGGAGCCACAGCTGTTTACTGGATAGGAGAACAGAGCCCTGGTGACGTCAGTCTCTTTGGGCTCACAGTATTGGTCGAACAGGTGCGTTTCAGCAGGAACGCCTCCGGTGGGGAGGGCCGAAGACACGTCAGCCACAACGGTCATCGTCCCATCGGTGGAACACACTGGAAGAAGACGGCGGTGACCACTTAGTCAAGTACAGACCTGGCGCACTGCTCTCAAACTAAGAAGGGATCACTTACAGATGAATTCCGCCGTAGAGAAAAGACAAGTCTTTGTGGTTGTGCTCTCGATTTGAGTCGTGTGATCCCGCGCCATGATCCCAAAGGAGCCAAAGAAGCCCTGCAAAGCAATGTCCTGTAACAGAACACAGCCGAAGATCACTTGTCTACCTTGTTCGAAGGTAATCTGAAAATGAGCCGGTTGGTGGCGTTGCCGAGTAATACTCACCCTATACTCGTAGCCTCTGGAGAAGAGCGGCACCTTGAGCAGCAGACTCTGGCCATCGTCGCTCAGGTTGTAGCCACGCTGGGCCGCGAGCTCTGGGGTCAGCAGGTCGGCACCAACGCTGATCTCCCAGAGGTAGTCAGAACGCTGACGGTCCAGGTGGAAGCTGATGCCGGACTCAGAGCAGGTGGTGACGAAGGTTGGAGGAGCTGTGAAGAACGCAAAAACACAATGGCTGCTTACTGCAAACACTGATGACTGTGCCAAATACTAAATTGGAAGGCCTTACAGAACAATGCCTCGATGATTGCCAGGCGGTAAAAGAGTTCGTTTTCAGGCAGAACCGAGAGGGTGAAGTTTATGTCCAGCCCATATTGAAGAACTGCAACCTGAACAAACTAGAGGGGAAAAAGTATTAAGTCTGCTCATGTGACAAGACATGACACTACCCTCAAAACAAAGTCACCTTCTGCACGACGAGGGGGTCTTCAAAAGGGACCCTCAGGGTGAATCCACAAGTGTTGTTGGGGTGAACAACCTTGGTGAGCGAGTAGGCACTGGTGTTGGAAAACGGAACCGCGAATTCTTGTCCGTTCAAACGAACCGCCAACAGCTGAACATCTTCGGGGATGTTGCCGAGGTAGACTGTGAAGGCGCGTTCGGCGACGGACGTTCGGTTTGTGGTGAAAATGTAGCACGGCAGCAGGGGCGTGGAGAGGGTCCTCTGAAATCGCACTCTGGTTCCTACGTGATCCTCTGCCAGGATTTGCTCCAAGTACAGATGAAATATATAAAACTGGTAGAGACCGCCGGCCAGAAGGCTCTGAAACAGATTCAGGCGGAATGCTTTCAACGGGTGGAAACATGCCACTGCAATTTGTGAGAACAAGGCAACAGGTAATAATTTAGACCCAAGTCCATTACCACCATCTACGCTTTATTCTGCATTCTCACCTTCCTGTATCCTCCTTCAGCATTATTGGGGATACTGATATGGACTGTGATGTTATCCTTCTCCACGACAAAGCCTCCCTTTACTGCAACTGCCTGTTTAACGAGTTCACCATTGAGACCGACGTTGAGTTGTCTTTCACAATTACTCCTGCACGGCATCTCTGGAGTTTCCCACATAATGTAGCCGCCGACCTCATCATAAAATCCTTCATCTGGGGACAGAACACTATTATCAGGCTACTTGTTGGTCAAGGGGAGAAGTAAGCGCACAAGAGGTTGCAATACAGACCAATTGAGCAAGCGGCCACCAGGTCGACCATGAAGACAATCCAGCTTTGTCTTGAGAACAGAGTTGCGTGGACCTCCTCTACCGGAACACCATTCACCTGGAGAAGGACGCAAACTAAAGACCTGCTCTTGACGCAACTTCACAAGTCAGATGTCTGCATCAGCGGGTCACCTCAGTGCTGAACGAGTCCGGTTGCCCATACGGAGTACGAAACACCAGCCTTCCTTTCGTGAGGTCAAACGCGTAGCCCTGCTTGCGAGCTGCAGTGAGGTTCATGGGCAGCAAATGCTCCTCGTGTCTATGAAACATCACCTGCCAATCTGAGGTGGAGGAGCCGCGTACCTGAGAAGAGATTTTTTTTAATGCAGTATTTGACCACATAGAGTAAGAAACTGGCAGCATATTAAGACCTACAGTGTCAAGATCACTCCAGTCATCCACAGTCTGAGGAAGACATTTGATTTCGCTCCTCACAGAAACCTAAAAAACAAAAAAAAGCACATAAAACGCTGTAACGACTGTATGAATTAAAACAAAGCAACTTACCTCCATGTAGTTCTCTTCACAAGTAACTTCTCTGGGAGACCAGGGGAGAGAGGGGGAACAGGTCTGGTTCAGCGCAAAGCGTTCCTCCTTTCCCTTACGGGTAGCAACCAAGTTGAACTTAAAAGTGAAGACTTTATCATCCTGAAAGAGCAAAGTGGAAAACATCTTTTCTTCACAGTAAAATTAAAAAAAAAAAAAAAAAAATACAAAACCCCCCATTTAGTACACACCTGGTTGTCAGTGTGACAGCTGAAGTAAGAGGACCGGAGCTCCACGTGGCCAACTAGAGGGAGAACACGGACAGTGTAGCCACACTGCGCTGCATACGGCTTTGTGATGGCACGCACACTTGTCCCACCTAGAAAACAAGACATTAGCAATACAGGTCCCCCAAATAGTTCAGACACATGCTACAGGCCCAGTCTGGAACTTAGATGGAGATTTCAGAAATGCTCAAATGAAGTTGCACAATTCACGTGGGACAGGATTGGATAAAATGCCTAAAGTGCTTAATTCAGGCACATTTTACCCGGTTCTCAGGACAGTGAACGCTCAGCATGAAGATGCTGTTCATGACTTACCAACAGCCTCAAAGAGAGGGTCCGCCCCAGTGAAGGAGAGATTCACAGCGATCATGAAGTACCGATCACGACACTCCATGCGGAGCGCTCCTGTGTGTGCAAGCAACAGACGGTCACAATGCAGAGAGGCCATCGGTTGTTGTAGATCAATGGAGCCAAATGTTAGTTACCGTTTGGAATGCCAGAACACTTTGCAGTGGACCAGACGGACAGGAGTAAGAAAACACTGGAACACAAAAAGCACAGGTCTCACGCATGCAGAAATAGATGCAAAAGACCGGCTCAAAAGAAGAAACTCACCTCAGGCAGAACCCGAAAGCCATTGCACAGGATAAATCAGCAGTGTCTAAAGATAGCCTCGCTGCTAACAAACTACACCTGCCACCCAACAAATGTGACCCACTTGCTCGGTGTCCAACCCGACTGAAGTGCCATCATGTCTGCTCTTCCGGCTCTTAAAGGGGTCCTCACCCACGGGGCTGAAAGGCGAGCACCTGCGACTGATTGTGAGGGGGCTTGATTGCTAACAAGGCACACACGTGGCCGGAAGGCCTGAGGGCTTCTGGTTGGTCGGTGGATAAACTGACATCTGAGAGCTGGAATAGCCGACAGGCGCCACACGAGATACACATCGAGCAAAAGGTTGACTTTAGCTTCTGTTTGGCTCTGAGACGTCGTTTGTATCCTGCTAAGCTAGCTTTAGACAAATCATCAGTGGCCCTTTTGGTTTGGCCTCGTGTAACCAGCTCTCAGGGGTCTCAGGGGTCAACTAAACATTGCTAGTTGTTAGCTTAATAGTATATCCCAGGTGTGGGCTTTTGTTGACGGCGCGCTCTTTGGCCCCATTGCCTCATCTTGAGTCAGTTCTTAAAGACTGATCTGTTTTTTTTTAATTCTCTGTGAGGGATGACACAATTCTCTTTGTCATCCTTTAAAATCATCCCCTCAGATTTAATCCGATCACATTTGGTTCCATCGGTGTGCCTTAACCCTGACCTTCACTCTCCCCTCCTGCAGGCCGATCTTCCACCCCCTCTTTAATCTTTTAGACTCTCTTAGAGTTTGGCCGATAACTCCGCTGCTCAGGCCTGTGTCCCTGAACGCACCGTGGACTAATGCTGGCAGGACATAAGGGAGCGACGCCCACAGCAGGTCAGACCCATCGGCTGTAGCCTCATATAGACGGGAGGAGACATTTCCCTCTGGTGTTATACACTTCTAACATAATGTAAAACCGATAAACGGTAGAACTCACAGCACAGGAAAGAGTGGCGTCGACAGATAGGACGGTTACATACATTTTTTTTCTTTTTATATTCGTAAATACACCTTGTTTTAAGATAGCAGTCATCTGGGGAATAGTCTTATTTGCTTTGGATGTCATTTTAGAAAAAAATCTGTATTATAAAGCCATATAATAATGGCTGTATAATACTGTAACCAGTATTTTTTACACCTTATTCCACACTATCTTCTAAGCATCCATATCCTGTATATTCTTATAGACAGGATAGAATTTATTTCCCCCGACACGTAAAGTCTGTACGTTGACAGGTAATAAATTAAATTGAAGTTGAAAAAAAACCACACAAGCACTGGATTTCCACTTATTGCCCCGGAGCCCCCGAGATTCCCCTGAAGGCCCCTTCGATATGATTTGTGACACAAGGATTTGCGCTTCACGTCACTGAACTTACCCGTTGGAACCGGACCAGTGACAGAAACTCACAGGACGTTTATGGCATTCAGAGCTGAATGAAGTGAGGGTGTTGAAATGAAGTCTTACAGCGACACTGAGTGGACAAACCGTCTAACTGACGTCATAAATACACTGTGGCTGTTAAAGGTCAAGTGCGTTCAACGTGTTACTGTTGGTTTGGTGTGATCACAGGAAATACAGGTTTGTCATGGTCGAGGTGTTGATTGATATCAATCCCCGCACAAATTGTGTGTTTTTTTCGCTAAAGCCGAAAAACACATTGGCCTACACTTAATGTAGGGGATAAAGAGGGGGGGGGTAAATGAAGGGTAAAACTGAACATGACTTTTGACCTTTAAGTGAATAGGCAACAAATTCCTTTATTGCAATACTGCTAATTCAAGCAGATGTTCCTTTCCTTCGAAATCACCTCACGGGCAAATATTGTACTTTTGCACACCTACATTTTCGTGTGCAAAAGCTTATTTTTCAGAGAAGTGAATCCCCTTCCTTAACAATGCATCTTCAGAATTTCAAATTTTTAGATGGACAAGGTATAATGAGAATTTCTGCCAGAATAGGGTGCATTGCAGTACAAATGACCCGATAGTTTACAACGTGTTTAGAATCAGCAAAACCACGGCCAGTGGGGTCGGCCACCTATCAGTGTTCAGTGTGAAATACTAATAACCCTTATGCATCCAGAAGACCAGAGAAGTTATATTTATCTGGTCTTCAATTTCACAAACCCCAAAACCAAATTCAAATAGCATCAACTCAGTTAAAGAATAATAAAAAAAATCAATTTATTAAAAGTTTTTTGTGATGATCAATTAACCCCGGCCCCCCTTGTGGAGGCGTTGGTGGTGTGACTCCATGACATCATCACACCGCTGGAGCACAGCTGGACGTCCCACCCCGCCACTCTGAAAATGTTACACAAAGCAGAGCCTCAGTGACCGGAGACCTGCCCCGCAGTGCCCCCGTTGGACCCGACGGGCATCTTCCCCAAGAAAAAGAAGAGGCCGTCACGCACACGCGCGCGACACCCTCCGCCTCTCGAGCGCAAACGCCCCCGTCGAGCGGTCCGCTTTCTTTCTTCTTTTTTTGTTTACAGTCTTGACATTTAGAAGTTTCTTCGCGTAGATTCTTCCCATTAAAAAGAGTATCTCATTAACATTTGAGTCACTTCGAGTCATTAACGAAGCGCCGCGGCGTCAGACGTCACGTCGAGCGCGTGGACACCCGCGAAGCCGCTGCGTCTAATCATCACTGACAGGATGCAACACACACACACACACACACACACACACACACACACACACACACCTCCTCGTGCCCGGTCTCCTCCACCAATCGCATCCTTTTATTGGCGCGAGGATGAGGAGGGTTTCGAAGACCAAGTGGCTCATTCATCAGCTCCTCGCACGGAAACACGTTGGCGTTCCGCTCTCCCCGGTTCTCCTCGCGCCTTTTTGGACTCGTTCGGAACTCTGCTGCTGCTGCGTGTGTGTGTGCGCGTGTGTGAAGGTGATGCAGGTTCTCCTCGTGGCCTTGTTCTCCTCGGTGCTGCTGGTGCAGGTCAGCGGGGCTCCACGCGGAGACATGCCGACGCAGAGGGGAGACCCGGCGGACAACAAGGTGAGCGGCTCATTCGTTCCTTCGGTCATTGTTAATTAGTTCCAAGTATTTTAGTTTTCGTGGCATCAAACATCTGGCGTCTGAAGTGTTTTTGTTGTTGTTGTTCCCGTCGTCCTTTTAGGATCTCGCGTACTCGATGTTGCTGAAGTTTGTGTCGGAGCTGACGGCGGCTCGAGGAGGCGAGACGCTCCTCGTGCCGGAGCAGGAGGAGGAGGAGGCGGAAGGGGGGAGGCAGGAGGTGATGAGGCGACATCTCCCCCTCACCCAAAGAGAGCGGAAAGCCGGCTGTCGTAACTTCTTCTGGAAGACGTTTACTTCGTGTTAGTACACGCGAATTAACAAAAGAAAAAACGTACTTTATTCATCAGTGTTTGCTCATTTTGTTGAAATGCAGTTTTTGGGCTGTTGTAACGATGCTACGCTGTGTGTTAAGATTGGCGGATGTACTGTGTTTACAATATTGTTGTCATTGTGATTTTGTGTTTTAAAAAGGGGAATTCGAGTTATTTGAACTGCTTTACATTTAGGTAATAATGATTAGAATCAAAGCTAGAAAGTCTGAGATATTCTGATGCTTATAGTCTCAATAAAAAAAATAAAAAAAATGGATCCTACATTTCTCATAATACAAATTATTTGCATATTTGTTCTGACCGGATTGAAATCATTGTGGTGACCCGTTGGGTTTTGAGCCGCATTTGTATAAAAAGCACAAAACAATTCAAGTGTATTGACATTTTAATAATTATTTATACTACAACCTGTATTAGGAAAACCGACATTCACCTGCGTGTTCAAGGCGTTCTCTCACTAATGTAACTGCAATTTGTACTTCAAGCTGTTTATCGGTAAAAAAAAAAAAAAAAAAAAAGCAGTCACCGGTGGATACGAGTCAGCTACAGGCTTTGCTCTCAAGATCCAATCCACTGCATTTCAAACTGAACACACAGCAAAGGTGACGCGTGATCCAGGGGAAAGAAAACGTGTGATTTGACGAGTTACATTTGGCATTGACCGGGATAATTAAAAAAAAAAAAAAAAACTGTGACACTGCTGCATGAACGAAATGTGATGATAAACGCAGGTTAAAGCAGTAAATAAATAAACCTGTTTAAAGCATCAAGCTGAATTCAAGGATTTTAAAGTTCCAGCCCTTTGCAAATACAAAATTAGGACGGAAAGACAAAACATCCACCGTAACAAATATTCCAAATTGTCACAGGACGACTCGGCCCGCACGAGTGCGAACAAAACAAATTCAACGCGCATGTGAAGAGTTGTGTTTGTGGCAAAGATACATCTCGTCTATATCCACAATTATTTCTTGACATTTGTAAAGTGAATCCATTTACCAAAATAAGACTTGAATAGAACTTTAGCACCACGTTCCGGCAGAGCGACGCATGTACACAGTCTACACACAAGGCTCAAACATCAACATCAAAAATAAACAAAACATTTCATTTGACTTCATTGCACCATCGTCTTCAATGTAACAGGATTAAGTATTAAACAAGGGTTGAACAAAACAACGTGTTTCAGAAACATTAAAAAATTGTTACCGTGGGTGACAGGAAGAGATTTTTTTTCTAGCAAATATTGTAACAGAATTGAATAAAAGCTAAGAGGAAAAAACAAAAACAAAAAACCTAGTTTGTAGGGTTAACAACACATTCTTTGTCTTCTACATGTTTCCTGCTATGAGGCTACGTCTCTGCAAAGATTCACCGCATTAAAGGTTGCATCTTTTCCAAAACGGTCGGGGGCAGTTTCATTGTCAATCAAACCAGCCGGTTATGTACAGTCACAGTTGTTGGATTATGTGCTTTTAATATGCTCGTTTTGAGGCAGTTTGGAGACTGAGGTTTCACAAATGTCCAGGTTCCAAAGTTAAGACAGTTCAGTCGAGCGTTATCATCCTTTAAGCTGCTTCTCTGAAAGAAGAAGAAAATAAAAGAAAATAATTGGAACTAAATCTGTAATGTCCTTCCATACCTTTATTTTCTCTGACAGTGATAATAATGTGCAAGCTAAAAGTTGAGCAGTACCATAAATGTTAAGTGGAGCCCAAGCTGCCTGCAGGTCAGGCGACGCGTCATACGAATACTGAACTACACCAGAAAAACGGGCCAAGCTGTGTACCGAAAAAAACAAGAAAAAAAATGCAAATGTAGAAGGACGTCTGAATGAAAAGGTGCTCGCTGGAGACACAGGAATCATTCCCCTGCAAACAGAATTACAGCTGGACACCAACAGAGGGCGCTGTAGCTGCGTTTATGTCGTCAGGGCAGCAAAAAAATTAAAAGAATAAAATGAAAAAAGAAGCACTTGACGGGTCAAAGCGGGGGCACATCCCGCCTCGGATCGCGAGCAGAGTGTTAGCAGTCGGTGGAGATCTTGGCCGAGAGGTCCTGGATGCGGCAGGCGCTGCAGTTCTTGCACAAGATGTGGCCGTCCAGCGGGTAGCAGCCTCGGCCCTCGCCCTCCGAGGACAGCAGGAGGCCGCATTCCTGAGGGACGCAGAGACACTTTAAACCAGCCGCTGCCTCACCGTGGACCAAAAGGGTTCGACAATCCTGCATTATTCTGAGAGCTTTTAAAGACGACTCCGCCACACAGACTCTGTAATTCAGTTTAGTGAAGTTTAACAGTAAGAATGAAGACGTGAACTATCAAAGCTATCAAACATTTGGTCTTAAAATCAACAAGTTCCGCGGCGTGTTGTGCGATCTCGTCCAGCCGACCCACCTCACAGATGTAACAGTTAACGTGAAAGCTGCGGTCCAGGGCCACGATCCGCACCGTCTCCTCCTGGCCCTGTTCGGGCATGATGGGCTCGCCGCACACCGAGCAGCGAGGAGCGTACTTCCTGTCGATGGTGGCGGGGCAGAGAGAAAGCGTCAACGCTCGCGGTTCAACAAACACACGCGTGCTTTTCTTCACACGGCGTTTCCCTTACCTGTGAAAGTCGTCTATGCAGTGTATCTGAGACGTGGCGTCCACGGTGAAGGGCACGCCGTCCAGGCAGCAGTTGCAAACCACGCAGGTGAAGCAGCGGGGGTGGTAGGCCTTCCCCATGGCCCGCAGGATACGGTCCAGGATGGGTTTGGAGCACTTTGAACAGCGCTCTAACGTACCCTTGGCAGACGGGGGGAGAGAAATCGCAATAAGCCGGGAGATACACGTGAATCCATTGGTGCAGCCCAGAGGTGGATGCCACGCGTTGGCTTACAATGTAACAGCTCTCGCAGTAACTCTTCTTGTCGAGGGCGTAGAAGGGTTGCCCCCGGAGACGCGCGTGGCAGGTGATGCAAGTGAAACATTCCACGTGGAACACCTGCTCCATGGCGATGCAGCCGCTGCCGTCGCCGACCACGTTGTCGCCGCACCGGGCACAGCGGCCTGGAGGTCCACATGGGGTGCGTTTGTTTAAAAATGCCCAAATGGAGGTTTTAGTGTGTGTGTCACAAGGCATTACTGTTAATGAGCGTGAGCCGTACCAAAATAGTCCTCGACGGGGGGGTGGTTCATATCGTATACCAACTTCTTGGTAAGTCGATCCAGCTCTTCTTCTGGCCTGGTGGTCGCTGTCCCCTGCTGAGTAGTAAGAAGAAGCAGGCCGATCAGAAAGCATTTCATAACTCAAAGTTGATTTCATATATATGATGATTAACGTAGTGACAGAATATTACTTTAATAGCTAAACTGTAATGAAACCCAGTTATTACGCTGACCGTAACACCAGAGAATGTAAAATGTGTGTTTCTTCTTCTTAATGCTTAAATGAATGCTCACACTTAATATAAAATACATATAACCATCGCTGTCTGTACCTTGCTGGGCTGATAAGCCGGACTCGGCCCCGTCTGGTGACCTTCCAACCCCCTGTTGGACTGCGGGACCTGCACAGCTCTCCCTCCCGGCCCCGAGCTGCCTCCCTTGTACACCGCCTCAGAGTGCATCTCCTGAGCCTGCGAGCCGGGATGGGGCGGGTACCAGCCCTGCGGACTCGTCTGGGGCCGCGACACGTGCTGGCGAGGGGGGGGCGGCGTGTAGGCCTGCTCGGCCTGCCTCCCCGTCTGCGAGTAGGTGACGGGCTGAGCCGTCTTCACCTGGACGGTGAACCGGGGCCCGGTGGGCGTGGAGGCCGTGGTGTAGGAGGCCGGGACGGGCTGAGGGTAGGGCTTGGGGTTCGAGGAGGAGGAGGAGGAGGAGTAGTAGTCCGACTGGTGGGAGGCGGAGTACTGAGGGGGCTGGTGCTCGCTGGGGTGGCGGGGGGCCGGGTGGTACTGGCTCTGGGGGTGAGGCGAGTAGCCCATAGATGGCCGACCCTGAGGAGGCCCCGCGCTCTGGTGCGCTGGCCTGTAGTGATCCCCCGGGAGGTACTGGTTGTAAGGCACGTTGTCGTACAGCTGCGGGGAGTCGGGAGACGCACACAGGGGCGTTTTTGGGGGGAGAGATCGAGAGAACACGAGGCGAGCGTGCGTGTGAGCAGAGGGGGCGTGTCCTACCTGTGCGCTGGAGTCCTGCGGGCGGCTGTCCAGGTCGGCCAGCATGCTGGTGAGGGAGTCGATATCCGCGTCGATATTGGAGTGATAGCTCGCTGGCTTTTCGGGACCACGGTGCTAACGACATGAAGAAGATGTTGGGAAAACTGGGACCTAAAATGTGGCTTGTTTTTTTTTTTTTTCATCAACAGGAGAGCTGCTGTAAAAAAAAAAAAGAAAAGAAAAATCAACCCACCATCAGCTCGTAACTGTCCGGGTGAGGGCTCCAGGTGCGGTCTTCTTTGGGGCCGTGAGCAGGGGGGTAATAGTGGTCGCTGGACGGGTGGTGAATGGGCCCACCTTGAGGGTAGATGAGGGTAGTCAGAGGGCAGGAATGTCATTAATATGAGCTAAGGACTGTACACTGTGAGGGCATTCTAATAAGAACACTGACAAAAATACACCTTTGAAGACTATGAAATAAATCAAGGGACGCTATGATCGACTCATTTGAATCAAATTAAGCGCCTTAAGGAGACGACTCGTGGTCCTCTTACCTGTGGGTCCGGTAGCCATGTACCTGTTGGCCATCCCACCCCCTCCCCCTCCTCCTCCGTTCTGGTCATAGGGGCCATATTTTGGCCGGAAGTCGGACGTCCCTTTCTTGTTGGGGGCTCGGTAGATCGCTGACGCGGCAGAGTGAGACATCTGTGGGGGGGCTCGCTCGGGGCTGTCCAGAGTCCTCGGTGGAAGCCAGGTGGGACCGGACATGGCAGGCTTCTGAGATCAAAGAGAAGAGACAAAACGTTGCCCTCTTGTTGTTCAATCAATACGGTTTTGTGTTGCAACGCGACTTCACCGTGCGTGCATTCCTCTATATCGACTTGAGCGAGTAAGCATGATTTCCATCTCCTATCCATATTGTACACAGCGGCGTCTGCTATGGGAATTTTTGTCATTTATGACAAATGGAAGCTACAGGATGCGTCACACTCGGTTTCCTACGGCAACAGGGACAAACGGACAGAACAATGGAGTTTGTTTTGAGGAGCAGGAAAAGAGCAGCCATTCAGATCGGCCTCGGGGATTTCCAGCACGTCGCCTCTAAAAACGTGCAAATGTGCGTTTTGCTGAGTGAGACAAACCCACTCGCAGAAGCTCTCCCAACACACAAACTACTACACAGACCCACAAACTCCGGCACAGTCACACAAACAGGTGCAAACCTGTGGTTGCTACCCTCGCCTGCCACAATGGTTATTGTCTTTGGGGTGTTTACCCTCTGCGATCATTGATTTCCAAATGAGGCCGAGACAAAAACAGGACGGGAAATGTTGTGCAATGATATGAGTCTGTACACACGTGAACACCTGGCTCATAACAATATATTGTGTATTCTCTGTGGGATAAATAACAACGCCGCAGCTCCCCGCCGAGCCGACAAAAGGGTTGATCCGCAGAGCTCCATTAGGACCCCGATGGTTAAGGAAAATACACCAGTGTACATGTCAGAGCTGTATAACAAAATAACCTTAATAGAAACAACGTGTAAAGATAGCAAGCAAAGAGCTTAGCTAAACAAGGTAGTTTTTTTTTTTTTTACAAATGAATTACCACATCTTTGCAAAATGAATACTGCTGGGGCTTAGTGTGGCAAAGAAATTCCCAGTAATCCCTTTGTGCCCCGGTTACCTCTGGTGGACATCTGGCATCACATTTCACATTTTATATGAATGGTAAGTCAATGAAGAAAAAAATAGTTTAATCGTCAGTTACGATTGCACAAAAATACTGTACTGTTGCCTCCTTTTTTTTTTTTAAACCAGCATGTGATTGACAATTCCTAAATGGACGGCGTGCACAAGCCAAATCAAACCGGCATTGTCAGAGGGCAGAATTTAACAGCCCTGTCACACCAATTAAAATGAGGGTGGGGGTCACAGTTCTAAATCCCCATAAGAGGATTATAATGATGGATGGGAACATGATTTCAATGTACAGGGGGCAGTTTAACTTCAAGTGACATTGAAGGCTTTTGATTTGTTTTTGAGGTGTTATTTCTACTCACAGGGTTGTTACAGCTGCAATTAAACCATGAGGGATCAGCCTGGACTTGACTGGCATGACACATTGACCACAGGAAACAGTGACCAGCACTTCCACCATCGACTTGATTCAAGCATATAAATCCGGATGAGCACAGTCAAGGATGGACCGTTTTATGTGTATTAACATTAATAGAATTTTATTAAAATCTAATTTAAATTTAAGATTGTGCATTTGTCCACCTATTTTCAAAACTTGACCTCTTCCTCGATGTAAAGAAGTCCAGTTCATGAAATGTCAGTGTGTGACAGTGAGAGCGTTGGAATAAACGGACATCCGGTGGTTTTAAGATAAATTCAAAATAATGTTCCGTTTTGGCAACACAAAAAAATATATATATTAAAAATAAGCCAAACGCAACTGATATAAATGGTACAAAGTGGTAATTGAAAGCACACTATCCCCATGTGCTCATTTTTCTTAGTTAACTATAGACAACCATTTGCAAACACATCCTACTCTTATTTTGAAGGCTCGACGCTCTGCTTAACTTCACACATTTGAAACAATGTGTGAAGCGTTGTGTGTTGTTCAACTGAAACAAAATAACCGTAAAACAACCGGATTAACACCTAAGTAAATATGGATGAGAAACTTGACAAGAACTAGATCCAGTAACAGTCCGTCCCGTCAACATTAGCATCGCGTTAGCACCTCTTACCTTTCACGGTTCCTTTACAGCGGCTCTCCTCTTCCCTTCAGTCGCATCTGAAAACAGGAACAATATAGAACTGTAAAACAACAATGGCGACATGTTGCTGCTGCTGTTGTTGTTGTTGTTGTTTTGAGACGGGGACGTTGCGGTAACTCTGGTTGGCGCAGACGACCGGACGGTACCGAGACAAACTACTCGGTCGCTCGTCCCAATTCCGTCCTTCGTGCGTCACGTGCAAAGCACACAACTCGAGCAACACAACGACCCCCGAGTGAAAGTTAACGGGCGACGATTAACTTTAATCACGGGGGGAGGGGGGGGGGGTCTACTTGTTTGCCATCCCTGATATTCAACTCGAACACGGCTCGTGCCTTTTGCCTCCGGGGCTAACTTCCAACAACCGAGGAGGAGACAATGAAATAATCCCCCCACCACCTCCCCGGACACCCACCGGCCGAAACGGGCCCCGTGGTTACACGACGTGCGTGAACACCCACAGGTGGGTGAAAGTCCGCCGGACCTGTCCGACATGTCCGTCCCTCGGTAAACCTACTTCGTGACGGGTCGCGAGGGCTTTCAGCAGCAGCGGCGGCGGCTGTTCCTCACAGCATTCCCGATGCGTGACGTAACGGCTGGGTGGGCAGAGGGGCGGGGTTTAGGGGCGGGGGGGGGGGGGGGGGCGGTTAGTCACATGGATTTATGGAAAATAAACGTAAATCTCATGTATATTATTAATGCTATCGTATTAACGAACTGCTTGTAAAGTACCCATAGTCACATATGGCCCGTTATGTATAAGGGGGAAAAAACGATATAAAAAGTATTTCGGGGCTGAATCTTATGTTTGAGAAAACCTGCGACTTTGAAGTAAAATATAAAATGTTTATGTCGTGCGAGCAAAACAAAGACTCGACTGGAGACTTAAATCAAAGCAATATGACAACGTTTATTTGCAACAAGAGTATTCTGTCCTGCAGTGTAACGTGCACGGACCTATTTCAGTCAGTTTAACAACAACATGAAAGAAGGCGCTTAATACAAAATGCGCTCGAATTATATAGTCTCTAAGAGCATTTTTGATTGGTTATTAAGATGGAGGCGGCTGGTGCTTAGAACCCTCGGAGAGCCCCATTGGAGCACAGGGATGTCCATCCCAACTCTCGGATCAACACGCCTGCCGTTGTTCATGAGTTCTTCCGGATGTTTGCAAGATGTGTGCAAGATGATTTGCATATGAGTACCAGGTATGGACATGTTATTCTTAAAATGTGGAACGGGTGGTTCCTGTTGAACTGCATTTGACCCAGTGCGTGCATCTTTTTGCAACATGTTCGTGTGCTGGTGTTGTGACTTGTTGTGAAATACATGTTGTTCGTGCAATCCGGCCTTTAAGCGGCCTTCTCCCATTATTACTATGCATTTATAGTTCAAGTATAATTTCATTCTAGCGTAAGCATGCATGTCTATATTTTAATACTCAACATGTACCAAATGGGCGGCACGGTGGTGTGCTGGTTAGCACTGTCATCTCACAGCAAGAAGGTTGTGGCCTTTCTGTGTGCAGTCTGCATGTTCTCCCCGTGTCTGCGTGGGTTCTCTCCGGGTACTCCGGCTTGTGTCTCTGTGTAGCCCTGCGATTGGCTGACCGGTCCAGGTTGTACCCCGTCTCTCGCCAAAGTTGGCTGGGATAGACTCCAGCCCCCACCGCAACCCTGTGTGCAGGATAAGTGGTTTGACGATGGATCGATGGATGGACATTTACCCAAAAAATAGACTAAAAACGGCCAAATACAACTTAAATTGAATAAATTGGTTCATGTACGTTTGTGGCAGATAGTGAATACTTATTGATGGATAAGCTTTATAAAATGTTTACCACTCCAAAAGAAATATTTGTGGCCAAGATGTATACCTTATTAACTATTAACTAAACTAAATATACATGTATATATATATATGTATACAAGAATGTATATATATATATATATTGCACTTAAATAAAAGTGAGAAGATAAAACAACATTAGTGAGCAAATGTGTGCATATTCTTGATGCAACACATTTTATATATATATATATATATATATATATATATATATATATATATTTTTTTTTTTTTTGTATAGATAGTTAAAGGTCATGTGAATGTTTTCTCTCCACGCAGTGAAAGCAGCAGTGAAGATAGAGGTCAAAGGAGTTTGCTTTAATATTTTGTGGTTTGTGAGATTTAGGTCAACGGTCAAACCCCCCCCCCCTTCTTCTTCTTCTTCTTCTTCTTCTCCTTCTTCCTCCCTCTCCACCAGGCACCATGTTGGAGGCCCACTGCCTTCCCCAAGGCCCCACTTCAAAGGAGTTTTTTCAAATAATAATATTATTTATTTATTTTTTCCGTGTCTATCTCTTCCAATGCGTGAGAGGCTGCTCCCTGGGTTCCCCGCTTCCTCCTGCTCCTCCTTCCGCGCTCGTGTGCTCCTTATATGTCCTCGGTGCTGTGCAGTTGCTGTAAGAGGCGGATCCGTTATTACTGTTGGGCGCCGTCGACATCGGTTGGGCAGCGACTGTAGGATCTGAAGTCGGGGCACGGACTCGGGCCCGCGCACCACCACAAAAACAATACGGCTCTGTCCAGGCCGCCAGGAAACCACAAGAGACGGGGGAATCCCCCTCCCCCCCCCCCTCCTTTGTTCTGTTTGACAAGGACTGTCACCGGTTAAACAGACGTTGAAATGTATCATTTCCTCCAGGAAGTCTCATAGAAGTTTGTTGTTCATTAAATAACTGCAGAAGGTTCCTACAATGCGACGGTGCAGCTGAAGGGCCAACGACACAGCAGACGCGTTGCCGAGCCCTGCCAACGGGATGGACTCAACGGCTTCCGCCTATTGGTGAACCTGTTTAGTAATGTTCTCACTTTTCCTCAGCCGCCCCCGCCCCATATTCCCCTCATCCGCCCCTCATCCGCCCCTCATCCGTTCCTCTCACAATGCCTGGAAGTAGCCGAGACCTGTTTTCTTAATTGTTGTTTTTTCTTTTGCCAAGCGCACAACCGATCACACCTCCATCCAAACAAATAAAAGCAGAAGGACACGCGCGCAAGTCATACACCCTCCCCCCCCCCCTCTAATCTTTACTTTAGATACAGATTTTTCAGTGGATTTCAATGGACACATTTGGCTTCTCGTAAACTAATGCATAAAATATTTCTCCCCAATGACAAATCCAGTGAACGGTAAATAAAGTGTCTCCTCGATCTAATATATCATGCAATTCTTTTACCCATCAACCCCTTTCTAGAAAGCAACATAACGAGTTAATTACAGAACCTCATATTTGCCTTTAAGCTAACTACTCAAACTTATCCAAGAAAATAAGGATACAACGGTCCACGTGCTTCACGTGGGCTGCCCTTATCTTTAACTCATCCAACCTCTCCTCCTCCTCCAACGTCTCCCCCTGTTAAATACTTTGATGTGAAGGAAACACAGTTCACGCGGTTCCCTTTTGGCGGCGCCTTAATTAACTGTCCTGCGCCTGGTTCTGCTGAGGTGACTTTCCTCCCTCCCCCACCTCCCCTGCATTACCCTTCCACCTCTATATCCAACCCTGTCTCCTGCTTGCTTTATTATTGACGGATGTCCTGCACGGGCGTTTTCATCCAGGTCTCTGAGCAGCTTTGCAGGAAACATTCAGAAGCGTGTGTGTGTGTGTGTGTGCAGGGAAGTTCCTGCACATCTGTCTGCTGCATTTCTCTCCGTCGGGGCGGAGTAAAGGTTGTTTTTCACCACCAGGAGAAGGTGTCTCCCATCCACAACAATCACTTTGGTCTCGCTTCCTTCCTTGTGTGGTCCTCCGCTCTCGGGCAGCAGGCCAGAAGCTTCCGGACGCTGTTGTGGAGAACTTACCAAGGCCCGGTTATGTGAACCGGTCGACACAGCGATTGCCCGGCTGTCTATCCTGATACATTGACTCAAATTTTGTCACAAGAATTCCTCAAACTTGCACAAGCGAAAAAAAGTCCCCTCGGTGAGATGGAATCTCGACAATGAGGGCACAGCTTGTTTATCCAACAATAAGTTGGCCTTCCAGCTTCCTCTCAGACAGCTTCCTCTGTCCACGGAGAGGGGTTAAGTGGGGAGGAAAGCGTTGGTGTGTTGGGGGGGGGGGATTACCCCTGGATGGCCAGGCACGTACACCACCGCTCCCCAACGGTGCTTCTGTTTATTTTCTTAACGTGGCAAAAAAAAACACGCTACGCTTTCCTGCCATTACTTCGCTTGGGGCTACGGGGGTTTAGAAAAACTAATAGGCCACTAAAAATACGTGGGGTCCTGGGGAGGTTGGGAAGGGGAGGGAGGGGGGGGGGGCGAGCTGCCGGGCTTTTTTTCCTGCGTGGCTTCCAGCGGGACGCGTGGGCCATTGAGGAAAGAGGAAACATGCAGCCCTGGTTGAACGGGGGCTTCCTGCACGACGTTATAAAAGAGCTGCCTCCCTTCAGCCTCCCCCCACAGCGCCGCTCAGAGCCAGCGGAGACGGAGGGTCGGTCCCAGCTCGGCCTCTTCCATTGTAGACTGGACACTGAGCCCGGGGAAAGAGGAGGGGGGGGGGGTTTGACGTCGACGCGGCGCACGTCAGTTCTCGTCCCTGCTGGTCGGGGTGAGTTGGGAAACTGTCGCTCGGGATTTTGATTAAGACATATTTGTAATCGCAACGCCTTTGATGTCTCCAATAATGTGAATACTAAAGCTCAAGTATTCCTATTACAGAGTGGATGTTTCTTTTTTCCTCGTGCAGGTACGAGTAGGGAGCTGGTCTCACCTAATACATGTGTCTGGGACACTCCAGTCTGTTTATTTCATCAGTTACGCATCGGTAGGTCATTTCGAATAATCTCTAATAATACAAAAAAAATGATGGATTCAAATGATGACCGTTGGTCGGTTGCTTCTCCACAGATACACATGAGCACGATGGCGGGACTGAGGGTCAAAGGTGCGCAGGGGATGAGGTCTCCTGCCCCGGCGGAGGGCTACGTGAAGGAGTTCATGCGTCACTCCGACGACGTGCTGCTGAACCTGAACGAGCTGCGGCACCGCAACATCCTGACTGACACCACCCTGGTCGTCGGCACTGTACATCTGCGGGCGCACTGTGCTGTGCTCGTGGCCTGCAGGTTGGCGCAAGCGGCAAAAAAATAGTCCCTCTTCGGAGGTTCTCACAATCTGTGCATGTTATTTCTTCTCTTCTTCATTGACTCGTAACTTTTGACCTCCAAACTTTGCCTTCCCTTCATCCTTTTCCTGCTTTTCCGCTCGCGGCACCCTGCAGTCTTCTTCTTCCCAACCCTTTCCACCCTTTCTCCACTTCAAAGCGACGCCGCAGGTAATCGAAATAACAAACAACAAATGCACACTAAATGATTCTGTCCCCCCCTCTCCACCCTCTCAGCGGATTCTTCTATACGCTGTACACGCGCCGGGTTCTGCTTCAGGGACGCGGGGAGCAGCTCATGACCGTGTCCCTCCCCAACACCTTGGACCCGTCCAGCATCTCCCTGCTGCTGGACTTCATGTACACCTCGCGCCTCCCGCTCACACCGAGCACCGTCCCCGGGGTGCTCACCGCCGCGACCTACCTGCAGATGGACCACGTGGTCGACACTGCCGGGATTTCCTGCAGCTGCACTGGTGAGGGGCAATCATGAATTAAGATCAGGCCACTAGTTAAAAGGGTGATCAGTGGGTGAATTGGTGACTCTAAATCGTCCGTAGGTGTGTGAATGTGAGTTTTCCTGTGGATCAGAGGGCACACCGTCTCTCGCTCGATATTAGCTGGGACCCCCTCTCCTCTAAGTATAAGCAGTGCGGAAGGCAGCTGACCAGGGGAATCTGGGTTTTTTTTTCAGCAAGGACAAAATAAGTGCAAGGCATCCTCAACTGGAGCTGGACTCCAGGGTGTCTGTAGCCTCTGTGGCCCTCAATGGAGGGGACCTGCCCAATCCAGGACCCCAGGGTTTACTCCCACAGCAGTGGCAACAAGGTAGGCAAAGTTAGTCGTGTCAATGAAAACTCATTGAGTGCCCTGTTGTGTGTGGTCTGCGCCTTTTTGTTGGGTTGCAGCTGCTGCGCTTTGTGGCCCTTTTGTCTGTCGACGGGGTTAGCTCATCACGGCACTTCCTTGTTGTTTCTCCCAGCAGGGTCCCTGCGGACGTCAGGGGCTTTCTCACGCCAGGGGCTTTCCCAACCAGCCGGCCCGGGTCCAGAGAGCTGAAAGAGCCCGAGGTGCCCCTCGTTGGCAGCCCGACCGTGTCCCCGGACAGCCCCGCCCGCTCCAGCTGCCAGCCAAACTCTCCGGCACAATCCAACACCTGCAATAAAAACCTAGTGGTGGGTTGAAAGGAGGTGGCGGCGGTGGTCCATGATACCACAGGGTTTTTTTTTTCAAGTAATTGATTGGATTTGGTTTATTTCCCCAGAGTGATCCCAAAGCAGCGCCGGACCCAAAGGCCTGCAATTGGAAGAAATACAAGTACATCGTCCTCAACCCTCTCTGCGCCGCCACCGCAGTGAAGGAAGAGGAGATGGAGGAGGCTCAAAGCCCCACATCGCCCGGTTTGGGCTCAACGCCCAAAGCAACGGAGGCGTGGTCTGGAGAAGTGCCTGGTCAGATTGATAGGTGAGTTCTTCAGAATCAAGATGATGGGATGCGGAAGGGGGGGGGGGGGGGGGATAAAGCAGCATTTATACAACAATGGACCGTTCTTCATCAGACAGGGGCAGGCCTTCTGGTTAGAGGGTTCTGGGCGAGCCCCTCCCCTCGGGGCACCCTCCTTCGCGGGTCACCCAACCCTGCCTCACGCTCACAGCCAGGGGACAGGGAGAAGCCAAACCGCTTTCGCAACGCGGGCGGTTGAACTTGGAGCACGTTACCGCCTACCATGTGTCTGTTTTCCAAAAATGTTCACGTATGCATTGCGCCCAACTCCTCAGTCTCACCGTGCGCCGTTTGCCCCAACCTGCGCCCCACCGATCCGGAAGCTGCCCAACGCGCAGTCAAGCACGAGAACTGCTATGTGGCCTACTGTTACTCTGGCAACGTTCAAGGAACCAAAAGCGTTTGCTCGGGTGAGGCCCTTAACGTACATCTCTCCCGTTCTCTTCCTTTATTTGAAACCAACCGCCTCACACCGACCTTTTTGCCCCCGGCAGGCGAGAAGCCGTACCGCTGCAATGTGTGCGGCGCCCAGTTCAACCGGCCGGCCAACCTGAAGACTCACTCTCGCATCCACTCGGGAGAGAAACCCTATCGCTGCGACACCTGCGGCTCGCGATTCGTCCAGGTGAGGGTCGGCTTGTGGAGGGGAAGTGCACGAAACGGGTGTGACAGATCAGAGAGCACAGTTTCCACCTGTAGGTTTGCCTAAAGTAGGTGGGTCCGGTTTGAAGGAGACACTAATTACATGTACGTCACTGCCGCTAGGTTGCCCATCTGAGGGCCCACGTTCTGATCCACACGGGGGAGAAACCGTACCCCTGCCACACCTGCGGCACCCGCTTCCGCCACCTGCAGACCCTGAAGAGCCACCTGCGCATTCACACCGGAGAGAAGCCGTACACCGTGAGTCACCTATTCGATGTTGATTTTATTAATTAAGAAACGTCACAGCTTGTGGACGGATACGCCGCGGCGGTTTCATCTGGTGACCTCTTGCTTTCGTCCCCCCTCAGTGTGAGAAGTGTGACCTACACTTCCGCCACAAGAGCCAGCTGCGTCTTCACCTGCGCCAAAAGCACGGGGCCGTCACCAACACCAAGGTCCGCTACAAGGTCCTGACCGAGCCCTACCAGACCGTTCTGCAGGCCTGCTGAAGGGGCGTCTTCATCAGAATGATGTCTGAATCGTAACGGGTCAGAAAATGTTCGGTGAATTATTTTAAATTAGAGAATTGATTCCGTTTGGAGAGAGAGTTTTTGGATGAGCTTCATCATCGATCAACGTCTTTCAAAATGTTTTTGAGATGGAGATTGTTGAAAAGTGTTTTTGAAGGTTTGTGAAGGGACGGAAGGAAGGGAAGAAGACGTGGAAAGAGATGTTGGGATGAGTGCACGCAGGGTTTTGAGAAATGTGAATGTTTGAGTATGAAAGAAGGATAAAGCAGGTTTCCTGAAGGAAAAGGTTAAAAGGTAAAATGTGGGAGTTTTCTGAAGATAAATTCAATTGAAAACATGTGTTTTAAGGCTGGAAATATTCTTCTAAAATGTGTATATTTAACTTTTATACTTCACCTTGAGGCCTGGGGCCTGCGAACAAAGTATGCAGTGATGTCTGCCTTCATAGTCCGAGCAGGCAAAGGACTTAGTCTTCGCGCACTGATTGTAGTCAGTATAGAAGTTAAATAAGTTAAATTTAAATTAAGAAGACTGTATGCAATTAGATGAGTATTAGTAATATTACAGTTGTGTGTGTATGTGTGGGTTTATTTGCTGGACAAAGATGGTTTTGTACAATCTAAATTAAATCATTGTATAGGAATTGGAGTTTTGGTGTCCGGTGTCTCATTTAATATCTGCAATTAGCATTTTGGGAATATTGTGTATGATCTATTAACAAACGGTGAAACTCTAAAAAGATGGCTCACAAAGTGCATATTTTCTGCACTGTCCTCCTGCAGCCTCTCTCTTCCCTGGACTTCCTTCCTCTGGTTAACGCACTCCGTTCTGCCCATGAATCACGGCCTTCTGTCCAGTCACATTTGTCCCGCCATTTTTTTTCTTCCCCTTTTGGTTGCTTTTGTGGAAACAATGAAGCCTGGGGCACCTGTTTCCTCCAGGTTCCTAACAACGGGCGCTCGTACCACTCACCAGCCGACAGCAGCACACGCGTGTGTGTGTGTAATGTGAATAGGGTGAGGGGGGGGGCAGCCTCCCGCTGAACTCTCCCTCCCTCTGCCGTCCCTGCTTCCTGCCCCCCCGATGAGTTGTGGCTAGCTGGGGCTTATTGTCCGGGGACTTGGACGGGACTTTCCAACCATTTTGCCCCCCCCCTCCCCCCCCATTTGTGGCCGATAGCATCCTGTCAAGGGGGAGAGAGTTCACTAAAGTCACAAAGTTTATCAGAGGGGGGAAAACCTTTACAATGTATTTTGTAGACTCAAATTCAATAACATTAAAACTAGTACGAATTCCTGTTTTTTCATTCACAATAGATGATTACTGACTATTAAACATGTTGAAAGGGAAGATAATTTTAACCTGGGGCCTGGGGGTAATATTCGGTGGAAGAGGGGAGGGGGGGAGGGGGTTTAGTGAACTTATTGACGTTAAACTACTTTTAAATGCTTTCATCCATCATGACACAGTTTGTTTTTTAACTTTAACTACAAGTGATTATCGGCTGTAAACAGGCCTGAGATATTATCCCAGCTTTATGCCCGGTGGGCGGACTGCGCATGCGCGCCTTTAACGCTCCGTCCCCGTGTTCCGCTCCGCAGGACCCGGTGCCGCTCCGGACCGACAGGAAGGTGAGACCCGCGAGGACTTATTATTTGAACGTTAACGTCACCGGATGGACGTTGACGTGTATTTTTTGGGGTTGTTCCAGACGTCTCGGAGGTTTTCAGGACGTTTCACTAAACGTCACCGTTACGTCACTCGTAGCAGTGGCGTCGTTTTAGCGCCGCTCGGGTGACGTGAGCGTTGCGTGTGGTGGCAGCGCGCAATACGTTCCAGCTTGGCTTCATACCGAACTAATTAACTAAATTGTTGACTTAAATGTCACCTGATCCGCGTGCGAAACCCTTCACTGAGCTGCAGCTTTCGCTTCACCCTAATCTGGTGTACTTCGTTTGAGTCTACATCACTGCATGTAGATTTAAGAGCGTGCAAATTCTTGTAATTCCTGCAAAGGCGACGTGTTTGGAGAGGATCTGGGTTGTGCGACTTGTTGCTTTGGCCCAACTCCCCGAATTAAGCAGCAGAAGGAGAAAACCCTGCTGACAAACAGCACACTCGTCTTATCTAAATCATTTACCCCAGGTGGACTCGGGTCCGGTTGTAGAAGAAGGATCATCGGTGGGAACCAGAGGCACCTGAAGTAATAAATTCTGTAATGAGGCCGTAACGTTTAGACAATGAAGCGCTGTTAATACTTTCGCACATACCACCTGACCCCCCCATGCGTTCATTCCCACCCCCTCTAATCTCCCTCTGCAGACTGTCATGGAGGTTGAATATGCAACGTTTCCACGAACCTTTCACCTCACCTCTCACCTACATCTGCTTGTCAGATGAAGGCCGGCTGCTTGACCAACCTGCTAACAGACATTTGGCACAACCGGGGGAATCTATTGGCGCGTGGGGAGTCAATCATTATGGGCATTTCACAACCTTTTATATGTCTTTTGCGGAAGGCGAGAGCGATCACTTCGCACTTCCCTACAGGACATGACCAACGTGGAGCCCAGAGCGGAGGGACGGCGCCCGGAGGAAGAGGAGGATGAGGACGAGACCCCGGAAGGGGGCTGGGGATGGGTGCTGGTCGGCGCCCTGTTCGTCAGCACCAGCCTCGTGTTCGGCCTCATGCGCAGCCTGGGCGTCTTCTTCGTGGAGTTTGTCCAGTACTTCGAGGAGAGCGCCCAGGCCATCTCGTGGATCTCGTCCACGGGCCTGGCGGCACAGCAGTTCTTCAGTGAGTTTTTAACAAAAGAAAAGTGCCGGTGATTCATTGAGTGGACGTTCTGAGCTATTTTGGAGATGGTCTGTGGAGAAGAGAGGAGGGGGGGTTTGTAACTCATTAACTCTTTAACAAGCCCAGTGGGTCACTCATTACAAATTCATCCCATATAGCCAACCATTGCTCAAACGGAGCTATAGGTAACTTCCCAAATACGTAACCTCGAGTGTGTCGCAATGGCACTGAACACCGATTGTGTGTTTTGCAGGTCCGCTCGGCGCGGCCCTCTGCAACGCGTACGATGCCCGGGTGGTGGTGATGGCGGGGGGCTGCCTCGCTGGCCTCGGCCTCGTACTCGCCTCGCAGGCCACGTGTCTGGTTCACCTCTACCTCACCATGGGCGTCATCTCCGGTAAACCGAATTCAAGGCGACCTTTTCCCGATGCTTTTTGGGAAGCAGGTTGTCTTTTTTGTTTACGTGGTGAACTGTTGACCTAGAGAGAGTCAAAGTGATCCCTCCTCCTCCTCCCCCCTTAGGTCTGGGCTGGGGGCTGGTCTTCACCCCCATGGTGGCCACGGTCATGGCTCACTTCACCCGCCGACGCACCCTGGTGCTGGGCGTGGGCTTCTCCAGCATCGGCCTGTCCTCCTTCGCTTTCAACCCGCTCTTCCAGCTGCTGGTGGAGACGTACGCCTGGCGGGGGGCCCTCCTGATCCTCGGGGCCCTCAGCCTCAACATCGTGCCCTGCGGGGCCCTCATCCGCCCGCGGCGGCGGCGGCGGCGGCCCGAAGCCGCGGCGAAGGTACTCACGCGCCGCACGACGTGGTTTCGCAGTACATTTCGAGAAATCGCGCCAACAGCGTTGACGCGCGTGCGAAAGTGAAGACGGTGAAGCTCGTCCCTCCCCTCGTCACACAGGCGGATCCACAGCGAGGGCCTCCGCTCGCCGCGGCGCTGCGGCGGGTCGCCTCCTACCTGGAGCTGCCGGTGCTGCTGGAGCGGCCGTACGTCACCTACGCGCTGGCCGTCACGCTCCTCAACGTCGGCTACTTCGTGCCTTACTTCCACCTGGTGGCCCACAGCCGCCAGGCCGGCTTCTCCGAGTACCAGGCCGCCTTCGTCATGTCGGCCGCCGGCGCCTCGGACATTTTGGGCCGCGTGGCGTCGGGCTGGTTCTCGGACCTGGGTCACTTCCGGCCGGTTCACCTGCTGACCCTGTGGACGGCGCTGGCGGGGGCGTTCATCATGCTGCTGCCCGTGAGCTCCCTGTCCGGCTCCTACGCGGCGCTGATGGCGACCGGCCTCTTGTACGGCTTCTGCTCCGGGGCGCTGACCTCGCTGGTGTTCGCAGTGGTGCCGATGATCGTGGGCGTGCCGCGCATGATGGGGGCCCTCGGGCTGCTGCAGCTCATCGAGAGCGGCGCCGGGCTGCTGGGGACGCCTCTGTCAGGTGAGCGTCACGGTCGATGATCAGGGAGGAGGTTTAATCTTTTGGAGTGAGATCTGTCGCCTTTCAAACGGCGATGTCATGCGTAAACTCACACATTTGTCGCCAGTGACCTTTTTATAGTTTACTAGAAGTGACCTTTTTTTTTTTTTAAAAGCTTGTGTCACAGTAACCCAGAACGAGGTCACTTCTGTTAAATGATTAAATGCCTGATTCTACAAAACGCGTATCCCTTTAGAGCAAAAGCTATTGTTGGTTTTATTGACACTCTTGGATTTTTCTCTTCTATTTCTAATGCAACATTCCTTGACTTTCTTTCTCCCCCCCGTCGCCACATCTCAAGGGTTGCTCAAGGACGTCACGGGCGACTACTTGGCCTCCTTCGTGGTATCGGGCGCTTTCCTCATCCTCGGCTCTTTGACGTTGACCACGCTGCCTCGCTACTTCTCCCGCAAAGAGCCGCCGGCGCCTCCTCACGGGCTCCATCACAAAGATCAGGGTTTGCACCCGGAGGCCGAGCGGATGCACGGCTCGCCTTCCGACGCCGATCGCAGGGGAGTCGGGGAAGGATCCGGTAATCCGAAAGAGTGTGTAGCTTAAAGCGCCGGGAGAGCCCCGTTGACGCCCCTTCAGGGCAGCGATGGCGCCGACCTGAACGCGCCGCCGGGGTTGAGACCTCACACATTCAGAGCCAAAGACGAAAGGAACTCGCTATGAAAAACTGACACTTTGTTTGTGCATCTCCAAGTAACTTTCAAGTACATCCTGCACATGACAAGATTACTTGTAAGGAAGCCTCTCTGCAGCGCTGAGCCTCAGGTAATGAAACTGGACTCGTCACTAGCGAATGTGTTTAATGACAGCGCAACGCCGAGAGCGAATGAGTACCAGCAGTCTTCCGCCTCAGGACTTTGGCCATCAGTCCATGTATTATGTCAAGAACACACAAGACTGCCCACAAGCCTTTCCTGCATAAGCACTTTGCACTTTTTGTAAAACAAACTGTGTTCGTAGGGGAGATATTTAGCTTTAAGTGCAGGTTTGCAGGACAGCGAACAAAGGATGACTGGGTAAAAAAATAAATGCAAAAGCCGTGTGAATTAAGTCAATTTCTGCTCGCAACTCGTTTTATGTTCATATGAGATTGAAGACAATGTGTCACAATGTGTCTTCACGGAATGTCTTTAAGCGCAACTTTTTGCCTGTGATAAAACGATGGCGCCCTCTGCTGGTGACGTGTCCTCAGGTCAGCAAACACACTGCATCCACTGGAGTTAAAGCCACGAGGCTTTTTGTTTATTTGATGGTGATACAAAATCTTAAGTACCTCACAGTTTAAAATAACACTGTATCAAAGTCCCTAACGTAAAGTTTTGTATACATTACAATCCGACAGTCAACTTAATCCCTGCAACAAATATGTCCTTTTCCAAACAACACTGCAGTTTATAAAAAATAAAATAAAATCCTAAACAGATTCACCACAGGAAGGAATCTGCTGCACATTAAGGCACCTCCTGCCGCTCTCAAAGCTGCTGCAGCGTTCACACAAAGAAGCTTTCATCCCCTCCGAGGTCAACAACAGCTGCGCTATGACCACACGCGTGTGTGTGTGTGGACACGAGGCGTTGCACGGCGAGGAGGAGGAAGAGGCCGGTTAAGTTTTGGGGTCTGCACTGCGGCGTTTCAGCTTCTCCGGGTTGTTTGAGGCCATGTGCGAAAAGTCCCTGAAGATGTCGTGGTACGTCTCATCGCCTGCGTAAAAAGAAAAAGAAAGACACAAACTTTAAAATGACACGTTATATTAAGTATTAAGAGCTGTAAATTCTTTAAAATGCTCGGACGGAGCCGCGGTTGAATTATAACATCAAAAGGTGCATCATTGCTTTTTGGGGGGTTCGGAGAACACTCTGCTGCAGAGGCTGTAATTCACCAACTATTCCCTGAACACATTTAAGAGCCGTAAGCACTGGGGGGGGGGGGGGAAAAGGCCCAAAAGAGGCATGCAGATGAACACATGGACACACATCCCGGGGATGCACGTGCACTTTACCTCGTACTGCGCAGTAGGTGGCACACTGCGCAAAGCAGGTGAGACCAGCTGGACATCTCAGCGGGCGGAGGGCAAAAGGCGCGTGAGTGCACACAACAAAGACACACAGTGATGAAGCACGTCAGATACTGACCAGCAGTTTTTTGTTTTGTTTTGTTTTTTCAAGCAGACAAAAGCGTCAGTTTTCCATTCGTTCATGAGTGAAACCGGGATTGTGTACAGTTTGCACGAGAACTTAAAAAAAAAGTTTTAAACAGCCAATTTTAAAAAAAAGGAGACAACCGTGAAAGAATGGACTTTGCAGCTTGAAAAGCAGTCGAATGACAAAATGCAGACAAAACCAAACGGTCGAGAGCTGCGACATTGACCTCTCGAAATATATACAAAAAGCGTCACGTGTATAACAAAGTGCGTCACTATTCACGGAATAGCAGGAGGAAAAGCGTCCTTTAGGACCAAAACCAGACCTTGAATTTAGCTTACGAGACTGACGAACACGACACCACCAGTGGACACAAAACCAATAAAAACAATCTGATAAAGTCAGAACACTGTACAGAATCTATTGATTAAAAAAAGATCCCAAATATACATTAAAAATAGGCTTTATATAAGTCTTTTGTGTATATGTATATGTATATATATATATATATATATATATATATATATATATATATCATCTACATATACACACATATATATACATACACATACATATGTATATATATATATGTGTATATACAACTGTTCCATAGCATTGGTAACCCACATGCAGCCCTGTGCATTGACTCACTATTCAGAGATTGTGTGGGTAAAGTGCAGGATGATGTGTGTTTTTAGCTCAAAGTGCAGCGTGAACTTTAGTTTCACGCCGTTCTCACTTTGGACCTCCAGACTCTGCCTTTATACTCTCGTACCCCGCTGGCTGGTACTTTTTACTTTTTAGCTTACAACCCCACCCCCGCCCCGCAAAAAACAGCTTAATCATTCTGGCCCCCCAGAGCCCATCCACTTATGTGGTTCTTTAGAGCCTGGAGGCCCTTCCTGGTGTGGGCCCGCCCTCCTCCTGTCCCAGTCAGTAGACCCCCAGACCCCTGACCCCCCGATTGACCTGATTGGCCAAACGCTCCGTCCATCTCCCGCATCTCCTTGTTCATTTTGGCGATCCGCAGCCTGAAAAAATAAATTAAAAGGGGAAGAGGGGTCGGTGAGAGAAGCTGCTGCACTTCAACCCGTTAATAATATCGTTTGTTTCACTCACAAAGTGACGATGTCAGCGTTGGCCGTGTCCACGGCGATGGTGATGGGGTCCTTCTGGTTCTTGTCTTTGGCGTTGTAGTCCGCGCCTCGCTTCAAGAAGAGGCAAACCAGCCTGCAAAAAGGGAAGCACGTGTGCATGTTTCAGCCTTAAATAGTTGGAACAACGCGACGAGGGCGCGTTGTTGCTTCGTCGCGTACACATTGGTTGTCCCCTTGCGGTTCTCGAGGAAGAGGAACCACAGACAGTGAGTGCAAAGAGTGGACTCTTACTTCCTCATCCTGTTCCTGAATGAAGTACCTGTGGCCCTTTCTATTGCAACTATATGGTTGAAAGTTATCTTTCTAACTTTATTCTTGAATGCATTTTAAAGAGGAAAACTTTCTTAAAACAAAATTTAAATAATGACAAATCCTGCTCCGAGCTCCAGTCCGAACCACCAGGCCCAATCAAGCATCCGAACAACAGCGCCGACAAAAGGATTTCAACTAAATTTGGCTCACGCGACACAGAAATGTCTTCGCTCCGTTGATGGATCTGGGCGCTGTGCCGGAAAAACTTTAATAGCTTTTTTTTTTTTTTTTTTTCACTCTCACTTCTTCTCTGTGTCAGAGTTCATTCTTGTCCGCATCATTTGATTTGTATTTGATGTTTGTTTGTCTGATGTGGTGAATTTATGTTCCTATAAAACATTCCCCACACATTTTTTTTACGTGGGGGGGGCAATTTTCTATCAAGTTAATTGAACCTACCCGGTGTGACCCAGGATGGTGGCGTGGTGAAGCGGCCCCCGCCCGCTGCTGTCGGCCTGGTTGACGTTTGCGCCGTTCTGCAGCAGGAACTCGCAGGCTGCCAGCGCATTCTGCTCAGGAAACAGGAAGCTGCCGTTTGTTCATTCTTTTTTTTTTTTTTAAACACGCCATGAGCCGCTCGCTGCCGTCACGTGGTCCGAGCGCGTAAAGTACTGCATGCATGAACCCCCCGCCCCCCTCCTCCGCTCACCGCTGAGACCGCCTGGATCAGCGGCGTGCTGGACTCCTCGGCCGCGTTGACCCAGTTGACGCTGGCTCCGTGGGCCAGAGCGTCGGCCATGACGGGGAAGTTCTGCAGGGCCGCCGAGCGGTACAGCAAGGCCCCCGGGTGAAGTCCGCTCAGGTCCTCTTCTTCCTCGTCCGAATCTGAGGAGATCGGGGGGGTGGGGGAGGGGGGGTTAATGCAGGTCAGACGCATCGGCGTGCAATCTTTATCTCACCTCTGTGTGTGTTGTTCTTCTGGAGAAGGTCACTGGGGTTCAGCCCTGAGGAAACACACACACAGAGAGATATGATTGGTGGTTTGTCAGCACGCACACATCCAGCACAGCGAACCGGGGCCCTTAGCATTATCAACTTTTGCTGGATCACCAATTTTGGGAATTGTTTGTTTGTGTGTTTCTGTTTTGTTGACATCAGCAGGCGCACAAAGAGCAACGAACTACCAGACAACACGCAAGCAACCCCCACCGGCCTGCGGCCCCCCGGGGTGCTTACCCGTGAGCCGAGGCAGAGTGGCTCGGCCGGGCTTGGGCTTGAGGGGCGGCCGCTGTGCGGGCCGGTCCTGCGCGTCGGCTCGGTTCCTCCTGCCGCTGGAGCGCCTCACCAGGGCGGTTCTGCCGGTCTCTGGCAGCTTTTGGATGAACTTCTTTTCGACGTACTTCGATCGTATCCACGACTCCTTGTCTCCTCTGAGGGGAAGGAATGGAAACCGAAGGGTGTTAGGTCGTACCATAGTTGGTCGGCAGTCTTCTCTCTCACGGCAACACAAACAAAGGAGACATGCAGGGCTCCACCGCTCGACATGTTGCTGGTTTTACTCAATCTCACTTTAATTAAGCCATAAATTCGGTTTAAAAGAGATCCGTTTAGTGCCTCCTTTTATGTGCTATTCAGTCAAGTCGGTCTACCAGTGCAACTATCAACTATCGGCTTTGTAAGGACAAACAAAACAGCACCAAAAAAGAAGCAGCAAATAAATGAATAAATCCAATAGCAGAAGCCCAGACGGGACCAAACCGAAAGCTCATGCTGCAGGAAGCATGCAGCCAAACAGCAAGCTCCCAGAGAACCGTTTAGTCACAGCGTTAATCATGTGCGTCAGGTACCTGAGGTACTTCCCGTCTGCGGCGAGACAACAGAGAGGAAAACAGGAAGTCAACAAATAGGTCTAAGGAGTCACTGATATATTTATCCGTAAATCCACCGAGCGATTTGGAGACGCCGTGGCAGCGATGCGGAGAGCCGATCCACGCGCACGTCGTCTTCATCATCATCAATGTACAACGAGGCAGAATCCCACCTCGTGCGATGACTCGGAATTGACAGCAGGAGGAGACGAAGATCGGGTCGAGCTTTGGAGCGGCCCCCATTTGTCCTAACTCCGTGCCTTTGTTTCTAAAAGCCGACTTACTGCTGAAACACGAACCCTCGGGCAAGAACCAGCCGGACGGCCCTGTGAAGGGTAAACGGAGTGTAAACCGGCGTGTACCTGGGACTGGAGGGGTGGGGCTTCTTGATGGTGATCTCGTCGATGCGGGCCTCGTAGATCCTGTTGATTACCGTGTTTCCCAGCTCACACATCAGCTGAATTGGGCGGAGAAACGGTGCGATACTTGATACAGTGCTTGGTGCTTTTTGGTATGGAGTTTAGTTTGTTAAACGGTTGTTAACACAGAAAAGGCAACAATCAGGTTGTGTAGTTGAAAGGTTGGAGTACCTTAATGAGCTCCGGCTCCCAGGAGTCGAGAGTGAGGGAGCGTACTTTTGGGAGAAATGGACTCTCAGGGCTCCTGTTAAAGTTGAGTAAACCATTAAAGCCGCGGGTTTGAGTGTGTATCAAAGTGTGTGTGTGTGTGTTATGTGTGTGTGTGTGTTCCTGTGTATTCCCGAGCAGACGATGCAAAGCGTGATGCCCAGGTTGATGGAGGCCCAGTCGGGACCCGGCTCCCCGCAGTCGCAGCACTGCCTGTTTCCCGGGATTGCCTGGACCTCCTCCAGGGCCTCGCGGGCCTTGTTCTCCTGATCCCCTCCTCCTCCTCCTCCTCCTCCCCCTCCCACTCCTCCAAAATTGTTCGCCGACACCGAGCTGCAGCGCTGCCTCTGACCACCCCGCGCACAAAACACACACAGACAGGGGTGAGGAGACAAACAAAAAAGGCACACGACTACCATTGTATCTCCTCGGGTTAAAGTCCCTCTGAACAAAATACAGGTATTGAAGATAATGAGTGAGTGTGTGTTGTGTGAGTGTGTGCGCGTGCTCACAGGGCTGTGTGTGTCCTCTCTGTGCTCCTGAAAAGCTGAGGCGATGCTGTTCTGGACGGCACTGATCCACGCCTGCTGCTGCCTCTCAGAGTCCGCCTGCAACAAACAACACCTGCACGCGAAAAAAGACATACACAAGATAGATTGAGGCTAATTTAAGCCACCGCCATGGCTTAAATACACGTATGCATGATCGCACACACGAGTTGAGCCCCACAAACACACACACACACACACACATGTGCGCTCACTTGGACGGAGAGACCACTTCAAAGCAGAAGCGTCTTTCGTTTTCGGTGCTGGGCTTCACTGTACAAAGTCGCAAGTCCTCCACCACGACCGTAGGCTGCTCCTGAGAGACACGCAGGCAGCGAAAAGCGTGCAGGTCAGACCACGCGTGTCACAGGAACATTTGGGGTTTCTTGGTCCCGCCTCTTTTAAAAATAGCAACATTTATCTAGAATATACCTTGAATTTCTTCTGGTACACCAGCTGGTTTTTCTGTATCGAAAACCAACGCCTGGGGGGGAGAATACGAAATGGTTATAGACGCAAAGATTGAGCCTGTAGAAAGGACGAGTCAAGCGGGGGGGGGGGACACACGGGGAGAAAAGGCCAAAGACGAGTGACGTCTGGCGGGGGATCTTGTACCTGCTCCAGGTCTTGAAGGCGTTGCTGGCTCTCTTGTACAGGTATCCCTCCATGGGGATCCCATTAGCGGCGTCGGCGTTGAAGTCCATGATTGAGTCGTCATAGGACACATCCTGGAGACATTTAAGAAAAACAAGTCATTTGGTGCCAATTGTGTCGATGGCCTGTATGTGCCTGTGTTTGTTTTTCACTGTGGTTAAAATAATAGAACGTAAAAGCTAAAAGCGTTCATCTAGTTGTACCTTTTTCTTGATGGCCGCGTGTCTCTGCTCCATGTCCCTCTTCTCCCGGGCAGAGTTCAGGACAAACTGGGTGTGCTGTGAAGACAGAAACAGACTCACAGGTCATTCATCGGACACAAATATCGATTTTTAAATGATGCATATGCTTATGTATAATCTGTTTCACATTTATTGATTTGCAGTGTTACTCTGCTGAGTGGAACACGTTGTGGGATCAATGACACATCAGCAGGCTACTTAACACCACTTAAAACTCTCACCGACCACATATCCTGTATGGAAATCTAAATGAATAATACATGTGGGTTTAAATGCATTTGTTGAGGCCAACGTTTTGTGGAATTCCGAGAAGCTGTAAAAATAATGATTCCATTGATTGTGATGTATGTATCTCTATTTATGTCTATAAGTGCCGATTCGGTCTATTCCATGAACTCGGGGAATACTTTGCCTGTTTCCTCTCCAACATGAACAGACCTAAATAGTAGCCCGTCACTCCTGCAGTGTTTGCTCTAAAGGAAAAGAGGATTAGGAACCTGTGCCTACTTATGATCTGTCAAACAGAAGCAGCTTCGCTTCTTGTTTGGCTTGTCCTGCTACATAGTACGACACATTCAGTACGTACAAGATACCAGGATGTGCTTCTGCATCCAGGTGCCACGACTAGATGGTAAAAGATAAAAGGGCCGTTCATCCGTCACCGGCTGAGTCTCGTTCCTAGAATCTCCTCTAGAAACAGGAAGTGCTGTGGCACAGGTTCCCGTCGGACGGTGAACAAATTCAAATACAAATTAGCTTCTTGTTTTAGATCATTTTCATGTAGTGGAAACACAACAAGGCTGCTCATGAACAGGAACACACACACACACACACACACACACACACAAGCATGTGAAATATTTCCTGTTGTTGCTCCCTTCTTCCTGTCACGGTGAAAGTGTGATGTCATCTTGTGTGACTCCTTAAAATATGCTAAGAACTCATCTGAAACTACTTACACAATCAAAATCGGGGGTGTTGTGCTTAAAAAGCGGCCAAGTGGTTGTTGATATGTCAACATGTTTTAGGCTCACAGTGTGTATCATGAAAACATGTGTGTGTTCCGATCTTGAGCTTATTGTTTCACCTGTCCAATGGATCTTCTTCGCCGGACATTATGACAGTTTACAGGAGGGAAAGCAAAGGTGTAATTATTAATGTTAATTATAGCTGCATTGCATGTAGCGTTGGCCACAACATTGAGACCTTCCATGTGTTCCCTGGGTTTATGCTAAGCTAAACTAAGCCCTGCATTCTCAAAGCTCCACAAAATACTTGGATCATTTCTCTTTTCTCGGATCCTTGTAGCCCAGCAGCAGGAGACTCCTTAGTCTCCTTTTCCTGCCGAGCCATTAATCAGTGAGGAAGTTGTTACCCGACGCGATTACGCCGGCAAACCAATCGCGCTTTGACGAGCAATTACCTCCTCATTCAATTTCCGCCGATACTCGTCCAGCTCCGAGAGAGACTGGTGGCCATGTTGGAAGAGCTGAGCCTGGGACTCCATCAGAGACAACATCTGACAGGAGGCGAGAGAACGTAGTTACAAGTCACGTACATTTTTAAGAAGGTGTCTCCGCAAAAGTAACGTCGTGGAATCGAAAATCAGTGTCAACTCACAGCCATCAGAATGTCCGTCTTCTTCTTGGCCTCAATGACGTTAATCTGGAACAAAAGGAAGCGGCGGTTTGAGACAGCGCTGGCGTCTCCAGAACCAGTTGAACTGGGAGGAGAGAGAAGCCCCGACGCGAAGCCTGTTATCATTCACAACAGCCAAAGCCAAACTGTAATTTGACGTGCTGTTTTGTGTCTCATCCAGACTGTTTTTGGTAACCGCGGTGCTCCGGCCAGGTTTTCTTTTGACCCACTGGAACATTTGATCTCTCACGTTTGTATTGAAAGGTGAAGTGGACCCTGCATACGTCTGTTATCATGCAAACAGATCAAGCCAAAAAGAAAGACAAACTACCGGCATCCTAAGTTATGACTGTCGTCTACATAAGACGTAGTTCCTGGTAAAACGTCTTTAGTTTCCTGGAGCCAAACACAAGGTCAACATGCAGGCAGTCCCACGTCGTCCTTTCCTCACCTCCAGGACGTAGTCCATGGCCTCGGACCGAAAGGCCCTGCGTGCGTTGAGCAGAGCGTTGCTGGCCTCCTCCACTTCGTGTTGTTTGCTCCGCGGCGCCTGAGCGTTCCTCACCAGCGCCCCCTCCAGGCATTCGCTGCTGCGCTCAAACTCCTTCCGCACGTCCTTGAAGCGACGCACGTCCCTGGCAGCCGGAGAGGGAAAGAAAAAGAAGGTAAAATCGCGCGAGTACGTCGGCCGTTATCTGATAAATAAGTTCCTGACGTTGAAGAAACTGTGGATAACGTGGCCATTGTGTACCAACGCTAGCGCAATTTGGAGATTTGCATGACAGAAAATGTATAAATGGCTAAAAATGTAGCCCAGTGTTGTCACATGCTATGAGACATCCCCTCTAATCTAATCCGTATCCTCCCCGCTAATAAGATCAGACTGCAAGACAGAGGAAGAGGAGAAGGCGAATGAAAGATCATAATCCTTTGACATTTCATACAAACATGACGGTGTGGCTCTGAAAGGATGAGATGAAAAAGAAGCTCACTGACTCTTTGACAAAGTTCTGCAGCTTCGTCTTGACTGACTTCTGTGTGGTCTCAATCACTTCCTAAAAAAAGGGTAGAGGAGACAGAGACAGATCCGTCACGGCGAGCACAGATAACGGCTAAATATCAAATGTGTCCAAGAGCGTGCTGCCGACTTGTCTGACCACTTTCTACAGCTGATGAGAATCGTGACTTGACTGAAGACAGGACTCACCCCCTGAGCGTCCAGGATGATTGACAGCTTTTTGGAAAATTTGTCCAAACACTCCTGCAGGATAGACATTTTAGATTAGATTCTTTCACAATCGTCATGAATTTGCTTTGCTTTGCTAAACAAAAACGAACGTGTAACATCCTGAATTTTGCAGTTCTACCGTGCATGTGTACTTGAAAGTAAAAAGAAAGTTGTGCAAATGGGGCATGAGTGTAAAACTGTGCTACTTTCACCTCCATGGTCTTGTCCCCAGAGCAGTGCTGTCCCAGATCCCGGAGGCCACTCACGAAGCTCTTGCTGGTGTGGCAGTAGACTCTGCCGGCCTCCAGCATGGCCTGGCATTGTTTCACAAGCTGGGTGACACAATGATGCAACGCCGCGGTCAAATCCATCCCGAATACTCAGGCGAGACTCGGCAGGGGACTAACGGGCCGTCATACTCGGCGGGAATAATTAAACGTCATTGTTTACATAGTGCGTGGACACATTAAAGACATGAAACAGTCAGATTTGGAGGTTGTCTGAGTGGAGTTGCACGCTGAATACGACTTTCAGCTTCTGCTGAATACCGTTCATTAACTTAATTACAGATTACAGAATGAAACCAAGAACAGCGGTAACGTTACATTCAATATTACATTTAGAACAGTAGGGCTTTTCAAGGTAATACCACACGCATCTCATCACTTCCTTTGAGGTTGTTAGCCAACAGCCTACTTGCACACACAGCAGACGCGGAGCATCATTAGTATTCATTAGGAGTCATGTTTCAGGCCTCCTTGCGTACATGCGTCCGATATCCACTCTCCTCTTTATTAACTCTAGAGGGAAAGGCCTCTTTAGCTGCTAAATGCTCTATTAGTCGCTAGCTGTCGATAGCTGCTAACAAGGCTAGCCAGCTAGTTGTAACATTCCGTTAAGAGTGAACGACCATGAAGGGCGAGAGTGTAATTTAGAGTGATGTCGCTGAAATGATAACTATGTAACAACTTAACACGACAAAAATGTGTCCTCCTGGAAGCGAAACACAACCTAATAAATGTTCAGCCACACAAGTGAATATGCCTGATTAAAAAGGACTGTGTTACATGAGGGAGGTGACTCTGCGCTTTTAAAAGAGGAATTCACTCAGAGCTTGTGGCTAAAGTTAGCAAATGCTAGCAAACTCCAGAGAGCTGTTGCCGTGTAATTGACATTTCTGGGAGAATTTGTGGACTTTTGTGTGGGTTTTGTCCAGAACTAAGATCCTTCCATGCTTTTTAAATGAACATCAATGAACAGAAACACCACATGTGACCGCTCGATCAGATGAATGGATTTCAAAACCGTAGCATGTAAATGCAAACGTGGAATTCGGGTTAAGTGTATCAAAGCAGAAGCAACTATAGGTGTTGAAAGACAACATGATGGGGAAGCAGCACCTGCACCTACTTCCTGCTCACTCAGGTGAAAAATACCTCAACTACCGCTGCCCACCTCTCACTTCACCGCCTCTTCACACGAGGAGCACGTGTCCTGCAGCAATGTGTGAGTCTGTTTTGTGTGTGTGTGTGTGCCGAAGGGAACATTTATGAAAGTAGAGCATTGACTCACTAAGCTTCATCACACAAGTGTGCGTGGGGGTGGGTGAACGTATCTCACCTTTTCTAATCGTGTCTCGAGTTCACTCACATCGCTCTGGACCAGTTCGATATCAGCTCTGAAACAGAGACACAAAGTACACAACGTCACGCACAATAACTCAAGAGTCAAAGGTTTCAATATATTTACTCACAGTAACACGTGGGCCCCTTTAATTCCATTTCATGGGTTTTACATTAATTATCGATCAATACGTTCGAAATATAAGGAAAAAAATAACCAATGGCGTAAACGAACAAATAGTTAGAATCCTCTTCAGTGTTCGCCCTCAACTATAAGACTAAAGTGAATGAATGAAAAGTATTTGAATTGAAATTGTCATGATTTCACGTCTTTACATCAGTTTAACTCCATTATTTATATCTGTCAAAATGATTCAGCTAAAAGTTCTGTGAGTTGGAACATTAGATCATGCGGCTGTTGTGCATAAGCCTGCAGAATGGGCCCTCCTGCAAAATATTCAGACTCGGGCAACGGATTAAAGGTGTTAAATTTCGCTTTTGAGCGTAAGAGTCGGCCTTCTCAAATATCCCTCGCGCAGAGAAACGCCTCTGAAGTGCAATGCTCGTTTGGCGGCTTTTGGTGCAACAGTCAGTATCTCTCTCTCTCTGCCTCTCGTCTCTTCACAAACCAAACCATGTGGTTTCCGCTGCCTTCCACCAACAGTACAGAGAGACATACAGGGGGTGGAGGGGGGGGGGAGACTGAGTGGAAAGAGAAGACGGGGCCTGGACACACAGTAACTGTTTGTGTTTCTCTTTGTTGGAGGTTTGAATCAAAGTCTGAGGTCAGCTTGAAGGGGGGAAGATTTGAAGAAAAGAGATTCCTCCATTTAAAGAAGGAGCAGATCGTTCTTGGTTCTCCTTCTGAATTAAGTGTCACTGTCACAAACCAAGTGCAGACAGAACAAATGCGGAGTTTCCGCCGTTGTTCTCCCCGCAAAAAAACCCCAACACTTCCTGCCTCCCCTGTTGATCACCTCTGCGCATCTCGCCTCACTTCCTGTTGCCCTCCCACCTCTCCGTTGCCCGGCAACAAGAGGCAGCACACTCGAGCTGTCAGTTGAGGCCTTTTCCCTAAACCAGCTCTTCCTCGGGCCTCCCGTCAGACTCTCTCCGCTCATCAGTTTTGATCGACGATGTGTGCGCGGGGAGATAACTCAACTTTCCTCCTCCTCCCCCCTCCCTCCCTCCCTCCTCTCTCCCCTACCGGTTCCTTCCCCTGCTCTCGGCCTGACACGAGGCCTCACCGCTGCAGCTGCCAGGGCTCAAACTTTCCACCGCCGAGCCGAAGCCGCGTAAAACCTCAACGCGGGCAACAGGGAGGCCCGAGACTCCCCGGGGGGGTTGAGAGATGTCAACTCAGCTGGAAGGGACGACACCAGCCGCCGTGACTCAGGCCGGACGCCAGCTAAGATCAGGGCGCACCCAAAAAAATGCTGCCCGACTCTCTTTCTCTCTCTGCTTGCAAAACCAAAATTAGCTACACTTCCCTTTTGGTTACACCAGATGCTGACACGGTGTTGAAAGAGGATTGATAGGTAAGAGCCACGTTGACTTTAGAGGCTTTGAAGCGGGGGTTAAAAAGCAGGCTTGAGTGTGCAGCAGAGATGGATGGTGATGATGAACCTGAATGGATCAGTCTCCACTAATGATGTCGGGTGAAGATAGGAAGCCGACGTCGGCTTCCTGTGTTTCAACGAAGCGGAGCTGCAACCTCTCACCTCAGATCAGTTGTTTTTTCAGCCCCGCGGGCCTGCGTGTGGTCTGCTTCCTTTTTATTAACACGCCAACACTCGCCGCGACGTGGCTCAGACCCAGAGAGTCTGCTGATTGTGAGCATCGGAAGTTCAAAGCTGGTTTATCAACACACACGGAATGACGTTTGAAGGGCCACTGACATTGAGGGTATTGCACTACGACCTTCAATAAGGAACAAAACTCAAGTAATTATTGCTTATATATATATATATATATATATATATATATATATGTATATATATAACCAATGGGACCTATCCATCTTGTCTCCTTTTTCTTTATTTTCTTTCCACACCACAGGTGGAATTTCTTACCTGAAGCGCGGAGAGTCTTTCAAACACTCCTCAAAGTCCAGCTTGACTGTCATCTCCTCAGTTCAGATCGCACAACAGCAAAAAGAAGAACCCCCCCCCCCCACTTCCCCTGGATGTATTTCTTTCTTTTTTTGGTTCGTTTCTTCGGATCCTCCAGCAAAAAACACCAGCAGATGCTAACTCTCCAGGTTTAGGGCTCCACTCCGAGCAGATCGACTCATTCTTTAGGTGTCATTTGTATTCCTCCCGCAGATCGTCCTGTTTGGTTTGACTCTCTCGCTCGCTCTCCCTCTCTCTCTCTCTCTCTCCCTCGCTCGCTCTCTCTCTCTCTCTCTCTCTCTCTCTCCCTCTCTCTCTCTCTCTCATCGCACTATTTCCGGGTTTATTACTCATGGCAAACCGTGGTTTCTGAAGTAGGAAAACTTCTCAGAATGAGAGGTTAGAGTAAAAGGTCGCTAATACAAATTATAGGCTGAATCTTTTTTAGGCGAAATCATATCAAAATGCGGAGTTTAATGACATGATATCTGAGTTTGCATGTGAAAAAAAAGGCCCTCCCTCTTGCCGTTTGTGCGTTCAACTTTCGTTCAGTCTGAATGAACCGAGTGCTTGAGGAGACACTGGGTGTTCTCGTCTGGCAACTTTTTGCTTCTCTGTTTTTTTCGTGTCGGCCGAGGTGTGGAGAAGGCTGCTGTTGAAAAGTCCCTAATAAAAGTTAACATAATGAGTCAAACGTTCGAAATGTTTGCAATTATTACATGCAAAGTCAAGCTGCCACGTACTAAATTATACTAAATAAGATAAGTGAAACGTCCACAAAGAGGTGCTGTGTCAAGTAACACTGGCCTGGTATCGATAATTCGTTTTATTCTGACACCAAGAGCCTCCCACGGTTCCCAGGGACCAAGCAACAGTGTGTTGGGCAATATGAAATAAGCCGCACGTTGTCATCCCCTGCAGCCAGACACCCTGAGGCCTGCGGTCGCCTGCTGAGAGGCGGAGGGTAATTAAAGCGGATCAGGTGGACTGTCTGCGCTGCAATGCATCTCATCGATCAATCTATCCGCCTGTCTGTCTGCTTCCACCTCATCAGTCCGTACCTCGCTGTCTATTCGTCCTGTCCGTCGGTCTGTCTGTATCTTAGTATGTGCTCCACCCCTCCCCCTGGTGGCCGTTAACAGTCACCGCACCTCGCGCGAAAACCTGCCTAACCACTTAAATTCATTTTGCAGGTCATCTTTTTTTCTCTCTCTCGGAGGATCACGGAGCCGTGATGCCTTCAATGGCCCCTGTCAGCGAGAAGGAATCTCAGATGTGACGTCACGGCGAAAGGGCGTAGTAAAGTCTGTTGCGTTGCTACATTGCTTCATCAAAATAAACAGTCGGGGGGTGTTCTCTGTGGACAAAGAGATTTGCAATAACCTGTTGTTAAAAGCATGCCATTCCCCAAAGATCCGTGGGAATGTAACCGATAAAGCGCGCACGTGTGTGTAGATTGTAAATCTGTTTATGGGATGTACTGTGAGGAATGTGTATCACGATGTATACGGCATATAAAATATAGCCATCAGAAATGTTAGGCCATGCATTTGCTTTCTGTCCTAGCAGTTTTTATAAGCTCCCTGGATTAATGTGTCTCCTTCCCACGACGCACTGGAGCGTCCGGAGCGCAGCGCTGCGCCAAAAAAAGGGAAAACGGGGGGGCGGGGGGGCGTTTGCGCATGTGGCGCACGCCGCAGAGCGCAGCAGCATCGCACCCTCGGGACAGACAGTCGGCTCTAGAAGGGTATTAAGGCGGTGGTCGTACGGCGTCAAACTTGGCCGCGCGACAGCGCCTTGTTTGTCTTTGGCAGGAGATTCCCCCGTGCGTCCGTCACACTGTCAAACAGAAAAGAATTTCTGCTATTACCGTTTTTCTTTCAAAATAAAAGCCTGAGTCTGGGATTAAAAATGTGGAGCTTGTTTGAGAACGATGCATGCTTACCTGGAGAAACCCAACGTCCCTTATCTCCCACACGTAACTTTTAACGTATGGACTTGATCCACGACAAGGGTGCTAAAAGACATGGAAAAGTAAATATCAACTTAATAACACCTGTAGCACTGTCAAAAAGTAAGGGTCTCACCTGTCGCCAACTTGTATCCCTTTGATAAAACATAAAACACGTAAGTAATCTGTAATATAAATTAAAAAAGAATGCAAAATCTACTTTAGATTCTGGAAATGGTGTTTTATAGGTAAAAGCGCTAAACTTAAACCACAATGCACAGACAAACCAAGGCCCTCGGGGCCCTTGAGGTTCTATTGTTTGTAAAGGCTAAAACACCTGGATTGGGTCATAAAGACACCTATTCAATTAATTTAGCCAGGCCTATTAATGAAAAAACAAATATAAAACGAATGAATAAATATAAGATTTACAAGATACATTAATGTACACGAGTGTATTACACGATCTTCCTCAACGGATGAGGTTCAAGACAGTTCAAGTAACAACCTAGTTTTATTTCACATAATTTACAGGATATTTGTTTGTCTTTTTAAACTGTGATATTTGCCTATTTTTGTCAAAATAATGTGGAAACAGCAGATTCCCAGAACAAACAGAGATACCAGGAAGTACTTTGACCTACTAACAGCGTGATGAGATAACCACTGGCAGTATGGGGACCTCTTATTTGTTTTAAAGCATGGGGAAGCAGCGCTCAGTTTATCTGGAACAAAACTCCCATAAAGCTGTCGTCAGCTGTAAAGACTCTCATCAGCTTCTCTGTTTGCTGTACCAGAAAAAAAGTGGATGCTTTTTAGCGTTTATTTCATCAACTTCCAAACTTCTTGTTCATTCTTTTAACGTCTGTTTCTACTCACTTTTGATTTTCTTTTCCCTGATGTTTTCAATTGTTTTACGTAAAGCACATTAAATTGCCTTGTTGTTAAAATGTGCCACACGAATATTCCTTCCCTTAAGGAACTGCCAAACCAAAGAAGGTGAACAGCAGCGTCACCTGTTATTTTACAATGAAAGATACCTCCTACATGACTGAAGGGAGATTATTTTTAGCAAATAAATTACTATCTGGCTCTCTCTCTCTCTCAGTCTGACTGTCTCGATCTCTCTCTCTCTCTCTCTCTCAAGCCGCATAAAAGCGTCTCCGTAGCTCGTGCGTGTAGTGCTTCATGTAGGGGCAGGTAGGGGGCGGGGGCGTGGGCGTGGGGAGGGGGGGTTGTTTAGTAAACGGAGGGGCGGATTTCGGGGCGGCGGCGGCGGTGGTGATTTCCCGGCTTCCGACACCGAGCCCCTCGGCACACCGGAGGAGAGACTGCGCGATGTCGAACCGCAAGCACCGGGACAACCAGGAGATCTGCGCCCGCAAGGTCCGCGAGTTGGCCCAGTCCGGAGTAAACAAACACTGCTTCGAGTGCAGCCAGCCCGGGGTGACGTACACCGACATCACGGCGGGCTGCTTCGTGTGCACGTCGTGCTCCGGAATGCTGTGAGTGGAGAAGGGAGGGAGGGAGGGGGGGGATGCATAACAAGATAGAGTAAAAAAGAAATAGCAGGGCTGAGATTGCACCATGCACCGCGCACAGCCGGATTAATAACGGAGTGTTATTTTCTCCTTCCAGCGCTGTCAGAGAGTGTTCATGTTCTGCAGCAGCCGAGGTTGTTTGCTGCTGAAATTAATTTAGGCAGTCTCTCTCTCTCTCTCTCTCTCTCTCTCTCTCTGGTCATTTCCCAGCCCTGAGTTACGTTTCATTTCGTCATGGTGCAGGTTTGACTCTCTCTCTCTCTCTCTCTCTCTCTCTCTCTCTCTTGTGTGTGTGTGTTCGCGCGTGTCCGCTGTCACGTTCTGTTGCGCACGTCCAGTCCCACACGACGGTTTCAGCACTTCCACCATCGCTGTTGCGCAATCCTGCACATGCACAGCAGTTGTCACACTTTGCTATGTGTGTGTGTGTGTGTCTCTTCCCCCCCACTCCGGCATGGAGATAATCAGAGGCCTGTGGTTTCCGGACACCACATGTTTCTCTGTCACACTACTTCTACTCTTAAACATCTCGTATCCCTCTGACGGAGCCCCTCTCCATCTCTTCCAGGAGAGGCCTCAACCCTCCCCACAGGGTCAAATCCATCTCCATGACTACCTTCTCCCAACAGGAAGTGGAGTTCCTCCAAAACCATGGCAACGAGGTGAGGGATGTTGCCAAATCTGGGGCGTCAGGTGGGGCCTTCGGGCGGAACCCGATGCTCCTTCAGACCGTAAATGGGGGTTTTATTGCTGCAGCTCACTAATCAGGTTTTTTTTTTTTTGGCGGGCGGGGTTCAAGTTCAGGTTTCTTTTCTGATTTGCTTGAATATTAAACGTCCCTTATGGGAAGAAATGCTACTGCTGAGAAACAAAAGGACGAGAACTCTTCGGTCCCACTGAAACCACAACCTATTTCCTGCGTGCGTGTGCGTGTGTGTGTGTGTGCGTGTGTGTGTGTCCAAATTGGCAATGTGCAGACCATATGTAGGTTTTTTTTAATGAGGTGAAACTTTTTATCGCCACTTTTGGAAACCACCTGCGTGAGCAGCTCTCACTGCAGAGCTTTTATCAGACAAATGAACGCTGGAGTGTTTCAGGCCTATTAAAGACGAGCATTATGATGAGCTCATCGTTGGCGTACGTGCGTGTGTGTGTGTGTGTGTGTGTGTGTGTGTGTGCGAGCCACATCGGCCTCTGAAGAGTGATCGTCCAGTTATGATTCGTAGGCAGTAATATTTGCAACACTGTTGACTCTTGCACCGGACATGAATCGCTGATAAGGACTAAAATTGTTCTGAGACTAAATATAAATTCTCCACCGCCGTTTTCCGCATGACCTGCAAGCACTGACACACATACTAATTGTTCTCTGGCTCAATGTGTGCGTTCAGGTCGGGAGGAGGACTTGGTTGTGCGTGTTTGACCCAAAGACGGACGGCTGCTCCGACATGAAGGACTCTCAGAAGTTCAAAGAGTTCCTGCAGGACAAATACGAGAAGAAAAAGTGGTGAGAGTTTTTTGTATCAATGAATGATTTGTTCTATAAAATATCTGTGAGGGGAAAAAAGCTAAAAATCCCCATCAGGAGTTTCCAGAGCACGAGGGCCCAACTTAAAAAAGTGCTTCTCGGATGAGTTGCTGTGGACGAATCCTCTGGGCACAACGAATGTGACTTTAGTGACAATTAGCGAGCCTGTTTCTACAATGAACTAAGATGCCAACAACAGTAACGCCATACCTTGTTTACGGCATGTTGACGTTATCATTGTAGGGTTGTTAGCATGCTGACGTTAGCACAAAGCTTTGTCATGTTTCATTAAATCAAATGCAGCATGACAACGCAGCATAAACATTTTATACGTATAAACTGGCATTTGGAAGCACAAATGGCTAGCAGTAAACATCCAACGTTGGACAAACTGCACCACTGTCATTTGACCATTAAGACAAAGGTGGATTTTGACCGACACGAGTGGAACGTTCGCACGCTTCCATTAGCATTTAGCTCATCGCACATTTAGCTCCGTACAACTTCGCAGAGCAGGACTGGACACCTGAAAACAAAAGTTGTGGCCGATGGAATCAACCTTTCGCCGTCTTTTTCGTGGTTTCCGCTCTGAAAGTGAAGGGTCACAACGGGGCAAATTAGATCCCCACAACAACAATTTCTGATTTTATTTGTTCCGCATTTAGTCGCTCACTGAATGAAGTGGAGACGCCCACTCGGAAGAATTAGCTCACAGATAAGAGCTGCAAACAAGAACAGCCATTGTTTGGGGTCCAGCTTGACGCCTTGGAAACGTTCCTAAATCGCGGCCTCTGATCGGCTGATTACTGACTTAAGCGTTTTCCACGCCTGTCGCCACGGCGCCGTTCATGAACAACCCGTCTCTTTTCAGGCATTTTTCCAAAAGTATGAACCGGAGGGACGTCGAGGGTCCTTGGAGCCCGGGGGTCCAGGCAGCGCTCCCTCCCCATGGGCCCTTGACCAGCCACGCCCCCTCCCACAACCTGGCCCCCAACGCCCGGTCCACCAGGCCGCTGGTGAGAGGCGCCGCGTGTCCTTATTGTGTGTGTGTGTGTGTACGTAACGGTTTGAGTAGAGAAGAGGAAGTGGAGGGATGCACGGGAGAAAGTGGGTGAGGTGGAAGTGAAAGAAGACGAGTGGTTTAACAAATAAAAAAATAAAAAAAGAAAAGTAAATTGGTTTTTTTTTTCCCCCCCCCCATTTTCATTCCCAGCGGCCTTCAGGGGATGGAGTTCCGGCCTTTTCCCCCGCCGACATGGGGGGGGACGTGTTGCCCGTTCCCCCGTTGGCCCCCCAAAGTTTCAGAGACCCCCCCCTAAAAGGTCAGGGGTGGACATTCCCGGGCCAAGGCCAATCGATGGTTTTTTTTTTTTTTTTTTTTTTTCCCCCCCCCCCCCGCCCCCCCGCTATTTTTACCCTTTTGTTTGTTTGTTTTCCTTCCCCCCTTTTGGAGGGAGACCCCGGGGGGGGGGGGAAAGAGGGGCAGGGCCCGGGCTCGCTTTTTTGGGGGCTTGGAGTTAAGACCCCCTTCCCCTCCTTCCCGGCCCCCCCGGGGCCCTCGGGGGTTTCCCCCCCCCCCCCCCCCCCCCCCTCTCGTACCTTTTATTCCTCCCTCGTCTCAATCGAGGTGGAAACATGTAAACTTTGAACGGAGGTTTCACATGAATTAATAGCCCTCATGTTTACAAAGTAGGGGGATAAACTACAGAATAGTCCCTAGAAACCACTGTTTTTGGGGGGGGGGGGGGGTTGTACCATATCATTTTTAACACGCTGGGTTGCTTTTAATGAGTAGGGAAAATTCAACCAGTGGCTCAAAGGGGGGTAAACTGATGACTCCTTCTGCTCTCCTCCCTGAACTCATCCCTCTCTCTTCTCTCCTGTCTCCCCCCCTCCCTCCCCCCTGACCTCGTATAGCCAGTAGCTCTTTCAAAAAACACTTCACTTTGGGTAAGACGCGGCGCTGACCCGCTGCATTTGAATGTGTGCTGAATGGCTGCGATCGTCACATCACCCCCCCCCCCCCCCCCCCCCCCACCCACCAGCAAAAAAAAAGCCCGTGTTTGAAGTCGTGCTATTTTTAGGCCGTAGCTGCTGCCCCCCCCCCCGGTCAGCAGAGGGGTCGCCGATACTTCGCACAGCGTTGGCGTTGAAGGAGTTTGTATGTGGGCCGCAGCTGTAACGCCCGCGGCAACCTGACTGATACTCCAAAGTATTCCAGGAAGCTCCGCTATGTGTGCAGAGATGCGTCCTATCAGGAGCCCCCACAGCAGCGTGTCATCGCATCCCGAAAAAACGCGCACAGGCCTTTCGCATCTTCAGATAGTCTGCGTCTGGTTTCCGTCGCAGACTCCTCCGCTGACAGAGGAGAACAAACGGGGATTAGATTAAAAGGCCTTTTTTTTTATTTGTGTGAGCTCCGTCTGATGCTAGCATGCTTTGTGGCTGATGTTCGTGGAAAGATGGAAATGTCCATCTCAAGTATTGCATCGACGCGGCCGGCGCTTTGAAAGCTGTAAACATGACCTGCTGCTTGTTTAATGCTTAACCACGACGACGTGCTAATGCTACATGCTAATCCTGAATATTACAAACGCCTTGTAGCATGGAAATGTAAAACAAAAAAAAACAAAAAATGGCATGAGAGCAACCGCTTCGTTTTATGACCTTTTTCTATTTGGCCGATATGAATGATGGTTTTAATTTCTGCAACTGTGTATGACACCATGTGCTCTTACGTAATCTGATCAGAATCTTGAGACGATCCCACCTGATGGTCCGTTTAGCCGCTTAATCTTCCTTTTCCACCATGTTGATCTTTAATACTTTCACTGAAGCTCAGTCTTGCTCTCTTCTCTTCTCTTTTTTTTTTTTGCCATCAGGTCGCACTGTTTCGGCCTCGGGGGCGTCGGGGCCCTTCAGGGCCTTTCCCAAGTCCCTCAGCGTGGACTTTGGAGGTCTGACGCATCCCCATCAGTCGGCTCTGCCCCACTCTCGGTCCCAGCAGCAGGCCGGAAGCGTCGGCACGGCGACGATGCCGCCGCCACGAGTCGGCAGCTCCAACCCCCAGGACCGATACGCCGCCGTGTCCCACCTGGACAACTGCTTCACCGACACACCGCCGGTCGCTGGTAGGAGAACGTTTGCTGTTTGTTTTGTTTTTTTCCTTGTGCCACTGTTAACGCCTCTTATTGAAGCAGGAACTTCTGTTATCTTTTACAGTCCATTTGTCTGCGCGAGAAATATTTTTAATAAAACAAAATAATTAAACTTTCACACCGTTGTCCCGCCGCCCCCCACCGCCACTCGGCACTAGATGGAAGGAGACGGGAGAGTTCTAGTGTGCGTGTGATGCAGATTGTCTCTGCCAGCTCAACAAGGTTGCGTAACACCCTTACACCAAATGCCAAGGCTCTAAGCAGCTGAATTACCCTCATTGTGTTTGCTCCACATCGCCTAAAGTACCCCAATCGCTGCATTTTAAAACCAAGGCGCAGATTTTTAGTGCACAGGAGTCCATAAGGAGCCTTTGGAGTGTGTGTGTGTGTGTTCCACCTTCATCACGGCCTCGCCTGCCTGGCGAGGAAGGTTATTGATTTTCTCCACCCGGCTCACTTGAATTCCTCATCAGGGCGAACACAGAGGGGCTATTTCATTCAGGAGATTTGCAACGCTTTCAAAGTAGCGTAGCTCGTAGCGTTCTTGCCCCACATTTTTTTTCTCCCCCAGATGATGACGTTTGATCCCCTTTAGTGTTTTACGGTCCGCTCGAAAATGCTTGTTCGCAGCTCCACCGGGTGGCCCGCCGCAGTACAGCGCCATCTTCGGCAGCAGGCCCTCGGCCGGCTCAACTCCTGCCAGGTACAGTGGACTCATTCGCAAATTATAAAGCTAAAAGCTGTCTGTCAAATCAGCTTCTGATGCTTTTCTTTCATTTCCATATTTGCATGTGTGTGTGTGTGTGTGTGTGTGTGGAGCTCCTTTTTTGGTTTGAAGTTTTTGTTTTCTTTCCAGCTCCCCCGGTGTCGATACAGCGTCCAGCTCCCAAACCTTTGCAAGTAGGTACCAAGCACGAACCGCATCGACCCCCCCTCCCCTCCCACCAACACCCCCGCGTTTCCCAGTCAGCGGCCTCCTCTTTAAGGCCGTCCAACAACACTCCTAATTAGGACGCATCCGTGTGACTCGAGAGCAGTGGTTGGTTTTCAAATGGACGGGAATGCACTCTGTTAACCCCACATCCCTCCCCACCCCTGTCTCTTCTTCTCCCCTCTCACCCCTCTGCCCCCGTGTCTCAGATTTCCCCAACCCATTCAGCTCCAGCTCGGCTTCCCAGCAGCCCGGCGCCCTCTCCCCCAGTAACCCCTTCAGCAACGCGTCCGGAGGTGAGGCTCCTTCTGACGTCACGTCTTCTGCTCGCGGGTTTTTATTTTTTATTATGGTGCAAAGGTCCCGACACACCCGGTGCATTCGTGTAGAAAAATAAAAAGATGAAGGACTTGTGTTAAAAAGGTGTGTTTAGGGGCATGAGTCTGTAGAATGATTCAATGCCGATCCTACAGAGAGAATTCCGGCGGTATTATTTCCGGAAAAACATTTGCTGTTTTTTTTTTTTCTTTGATATTATTTCAAAATGAAGAACATGTTACAAACTGTCCTTCTTCTTCCTCACCAGGGGACTCCAGCTCGTTTGTCACCTCGCCCACCTCAGTGTTTCCCCCGAATACCCAGAATGCATTTCACCCCGAGTCGGCCAGCAACCAGGAGGCCAACGGTAAGAGCTTTTTGAGCCATTATTGAAATTGTCCAATATTTTGTGTGCAGAGGGGGTGTCTGTACATGACAGATGGCAGTAAATGAATTGTTTCCACAAAAATGTGCCCTTCTTCTTCTGAGAGACTGAGTACGAGGACGAATTATAATAAAAATAACCCGATTCAACAAGAGAATTCATTATACCTGAAGAAGAAGAGAAAATAATAAGGAATGAATTGCAAACGCAGAAAAAAAAATCCCAACGAGGCTTGAATAGAATAATATTTGCTGCTACTGACGTGAATTCCACATTGAAAATAACAGGTTTGCATATAGCTGTGATGTGCAGAACGATCCCTGACGAGCTTTGAGGAACCGGCACAGCGGAAATGTTTCACCTCATCACGAAACCACCGGGACCCCCAGGTCCCCCATTAACACCCTCACAGATTCACAACATCTGTCCCACTGTGTGTGTGTTTTTTTTTTTTTTTTTTCCAGGTTTCGCCGCCTTCCCCGCGCCCGACTCTCAGCCCAAAGTCCCCCGGCCGATGTCGGTGAACCCGTTCACGGTGCGTTCAGGGCCTCGCAGACAAACCGCACTAGAGTGCCCCCCCCATGTGGGAATGAGAGAGAGGGGCTTATATTTTTCATTTTTTGCATGCTGTTTTTTCAGGGAGTGCAGTAGAACTCTCTGCCTTTTCTCACGCTGCCTCTCTTGTCTTTTCAGGGCAACGTTTACCCCAGTCGAGGGACGTCGCGAAACCCTTTCATCTGACCCCCCCCCCCCCCCACTGTCTGTGTTTACGTGCAGGTGGACGCAAAAAAGAAGAAAATGTGTGGATGTGATTCTGAAATGTGTGTGTGTGTGTGTGTGTGTGTGAGAGAGAGAGACCACCTACCGTGTTTGTACCATGTGACATTATGTCAAAAAAAGTGTTTTCTTGTGTGCCGATAGACGCAAACCTCAGGGCTCAGTGGGAGTCATGATAAACTTTTTTTCTTTTGCAGAAACGCACATATATGCCACACACATACATGTCGCTTTAATCTCCTGCTTTAAAAAAAAAAAAAAAAAAGCACCCGGCAGCGAACGCATCACCGTGTGTCTCCGGTGTCTCAGCCGTCCAGAGGAAGAGCCAGTTGAGACCCTGCATTGCGTGTCTCTAGAGAGGGTCATAAACAGCCTTAATTGTCTCCTGATGCATGTGGGCTGGGTTTTGTTTGTTTGTTTGTTTGTTTTCCTCTGGGTTCGCATACGTCACTGTTTTTAATATAATTTTTAAGTTGATCCTATTCGAAGGATAATCTTGTGTTTTCCACTTCCTATAGCTGCATGCGCTTAGAGGGCTAACAGGAGATACTACTGAATGTAAAACGAAATTTCAGAGTTATTTAAATGTGTGTAAAAGAAGAAATACGTTCCTGGCTTCATGTTCTGGACCAAAGTCCTTCTCTGCTTTTTTTTTTTTTTTTTTGGTTGTCATGGAGGCAAAGTTGATTTTCTCTTAATTTGCCAAGATGGAAAAGAGATTCATCTGTCTTTGTAATGACAAGTACTCATGCTCATAAAATCTGTTTTTGCTTCTTAAGACATGTTGGCTCTGGGTGTTTCTTTTCATGTTTGTTTTTTTCCGACTCCTATAATGACCCCTAAACAAAAATACAACCGTGGAATGAGAAAACATTCTACGTTAGAATAGAAGCTTCCTTTGAATGACACCCAAGGCTGTAGTTACTTCGTCAAACAGCAGGGGGCGCTTGAGGTCCACTTTGCTCTGACCTCGTGAACAAGGTTACTTTTGGATGTATATTGCATAACAACATACATACTGCATAAGCGTGCAGTGCACAGATAGGACCCCTTCACAGGGTGCAGGATTACTATTAATAGAACGTTTTAAAAGATTAATTGACATCCAATATATATTGAAAACATGCCTTCTCTTAATATGTATGTGTTATTCGACGTGATTTCCCTCAGACGTGCACCAGTGAGTGGAGGAAAAACAATCATACAAATATAGGGCGTCTACAAATGCCTCGTTTATTAAATTGCAGCAGCTTGATGTGCTGTTTGAGGCATTTAGGAAACATAAAAACGACTGCACCCCCCCCCCCCCAGTGTGTAATGTGTCTCACTATTAACCTAGATTGTAAATATGTTTACGTAACGTCCCGCTGCATTTAACGCAGTAAATGTAATTTCCAAAAGCTGCAGGGCGTTCAGAGTAGTTGATGAATGAAACCCGTGAGTACAAAACGGAGGATTGATTTTTACGTTAACAATAAATAGAACAGGATGGACTCGAGGCAGAGCCAATACTGAAATCTTACTCCACTCACTGGAAGCATTGCTGCCTTCACGCGCTGTGGGAAATATTGCCTGTCGCTTGAGTTGACCTTAGTTCAAATTCCCTTCACAGCTGCCCAAGAAACCGATAAGAACGAATAAAATCAATCGAATTAGAAAGAATTATAAAGGAATTAAAAAGCTACAATACATAACTTACATTATCATGACTTTTGAAAATATACATTTTCATGCTGTCATGTTTTATTGTTTACGTATTACGTGGCCATTTTCTATCTTTATCATCATCCCGCATATAACTGTTAATCTCTTTGGTATAGTCCATACATTTCTACATTTGACATAAACAACTGCGTGCGAAATGCTCGTGTGGGGTGGGGCAAAACGAAAATAGTTTCGGGGGAGCCGGGTGGTCTCATGTCGGAGCCCGGTCTCGGGCCCGTGAACGCACCACCACTCCTGAGTACTTGTGCAGCGGCTGAGTGACAGTCCCGCTCCACGGAAGCTGCTCTTCTCTCTCTCTCCCTTTCTCTCTCTCCATTCCACGGCAGCGCGACCGGAGCCGAGCAGCGCATGGGGGAGCGCGGGGAGGGGGGGGGGGGGGCAGACGGACACGAGAGACGGACAGACACGCTGCTGCAGGATGGGCTCCGTGCGGTGTGACGTGCACTAAATGGGGATAAAGCGCTCGGACCGGTGGTGGTAGTAGTTGTAGTCGTAGTAGTGGGTGTAGTAAAGGGCCGGGGGAGAGAAGGAGGGGAGGCGGGGGGGGAGTTCCGCGCCGAGTTGCGCCGCATGTGGAGAAACTTGCCCCAGGAACGTCCAGTCGGTCGGCAAAAAAACAACAGCCCCCAAAAGAGGAGGGAAACCAGCGACCAGCGAGGACCCCCAAAAACTCTCCCCCCCCGCACCCACTCGCCACCAGTTCACATGCCTGCGTTGATGGGGGAGAGAGAGAGGGAGGGGAGCCGGGGGAGCTTTGACCCGTCTCTCTAAACTTGCAGAAATACGACCAGAAGAAAAGGAGTTTTTTTTTTTGTTTTGTTTTGTTGTTTTAATTTCTGGTGGAGGTGCTGGTGGTGCAGGGCGCGCGCGCGCACGCACGCACGCACGCACTACACATCGACCCGCGGGGATAGAGAGCCAGCCGGGCGACCCGCAGAGCGTCGAGGACGTGCGCCGCAGCGGCTTACCTTCGCAGGCACAAGTCCATGCACCGGCGGTACTTCGTGCTGCGCGCCGCCTCGGAGCGCGGCCCGGCCCGCCTGGAGTACTACGAGAGCGAGAAGAAGTTCCGCGGCAAGGCCCCCGTGCCCAAGCGCGCGGTGCCGCTCGAGACGTGCTTCAACATCAACAAGCGCGCCGACGCCAAGAACAAGCACATGATCGTGCTGTACGCGCGCGCCGAGAGCTTCGCCGTGGCCGCGGAGAGCGAGGCGGAGCAGGACGAGTGGTACCAGGCCATGGTGGAGCTGCAGTGCAAGAGTGAGTCCTACAACGCGCGCCCCCCCCCGCACACGCACACGCACGCGCTAATTTATTAATGCACGCTGGCCTGGTTTACGTAGTGTGCTTCTGGGTCCCGTTGCCTCGTTCACTTCACACTTTTTGAAACGCAACTTCTCCACGAACGGCCTCTGACGGGAGTGTGCGCGTGCGTGCGTGTGTGTTTGTAAACACGCGCCCTTAAGCCGCTCTGTGGCGCTCATTACCCCCCCCCCCCCTCCCAAAACCTCCACCCAACTGTTATCACACTGGTGTCAGACTAGATATTTACTCCCAGTTGTCCTCCAGACTTGAGAGAGAGTTTTTTTTTTCTTCTTTTCTTTTTTCACACTCGTGGCTCTCAACTGCGTGCACGCTTTGTTTCCTAACTTCCCCTCCACCCCCCCCCCCTCCTCCCCCCTCTTTCGCCTCTTATTTACTTTGACCGCTCTGCCCTTTTCTGCTGACACGGCAGTATTACATCAGGATATTGGGCTTACAGGATTGACACATGTCCCTAAAGTGTGTGTGTGTGTGTGTGAGTGATTTGCACCCCAGAGGCTCATTCCTTCATAAAATATTCATGTTCCCTGATTTGACTGGAAATGGCGACTCGTCTTATGCTCTCCCATCAAGCTCCCTCCTGCGGGGGATTCATCCCTGCAGAATGCGCAAATGGCTTCAACGTTTTTTTTAGTCTTTTTTTTTTTATTTGTATTTTATTATCCCCCCGCCACCCTCCCCTCCCCTTCTCCTCTCCAACGCTGTCAACACAGCTGTCGGGCCACAACTGGTGAGCGGGGGCAGCTTGCAGTCACCTGTTCGGCCTTCGGCGCGAGAGACCAAACACGAGGGGACTCGTGACGCAACCCTGACGCGAGCAGAGATACGGGTTCAAGGTGCACATGACCTCCGGGTTCTGTTACGTAAAGCAGCCGAGGAGAGGGGAGGGGGGGGGGGGTGTCTGTGTGTGTGTACACGTAGGGGGAGGGGGGGGTGTTCCAATATATTTGATCAAGCTGTTACCTGTGCAGATTTGGATTAGGTGCTGACATGCCGCCGCCGCGCCCCCCTACCAGCCTCTTGTTGCTTTTACATAACCGGGTCTGTGGTTGTGCAGCCCGCCCCCTCCCGACTATTTGGCGAGTTCCCGCGAAGACGGGCGGACGGAGGTCGGGGCCCACGGGACCTGTGGGAAAACGGACCCGACGACCCCTCTCCAAAAGGGCCGGCGAGGCAATCCGCGGCCACCGAAGCGTGCGTGGAGGTCATACGTACAGAAATAGGGCCTCGGCCCTTTCACCTTCTCTCACCACCCCCGCCTGCAGTGCCCCCCCCTCCCTTATATTCCCCCCCGCGCTCACCGGGTGTTTTTTTATAAAACAAAAATATATATACACAATTCGGCGGGCGTCTTTTTTTCCTCTTTTTGTTTCTAAGAGTGTCGGACAACCGTGCGGCGTGGGCACCCTTCTTTTCTGGGGGATTTGGGGGGGGAAAAAAAAACACGGGGAAACAAAAAAAAACACCCAGATTCCAGGAGATTTTTGTGAGGGGGGGGATTCGGGGTTCCACACCCAATTCCGGCCAAAACCGCATTTTGGAAAAATACCGAAAAAAACACCCAAACACACACACACACCCCTTAAGGTTTCTTTCCCTAAAAAAACCCTCTCCAGGTATGGCCAATTCCCACCAATTTCCAACCTTTTGGGTTTTTTGGCCCTAACCCTCTTTGAACCTAAACCCCCCCCCCCGACCCGCCCCATCCCAGGGGGGAAGTAAAAGTTTTCCCACCCGGGGGGGGGGGGGGGGGGGCAAGGGGGCGAAAATAAACGGGCGCGCGGTCAAAAGATGCTGCCCCGGTCCCCCCTTTAAAGAGTTTCCAGAGGGACCCCCCCCCCCCCCTCCCCTCTGGAAACAAAGTCATGAGGGGGGGGGTGATAACCTGGGCCGCACACAGATATTCTATTGGAAGCACTGATGGCGTTTTGGGTTCTGGGAAAAGTCTCCCAAAGCAGGACAGGAACCATCCAATACCCCCCACCCCATTGCTCCTGAGCCGCCAGTAATCACACAAGCCAGCTGCAGGGGGGGGTGGGGGGGGTATTAGGATCCTACATATTTATTCAGTTGAGTCCAGTAAGACCTTTTCGGGCAGCGAGTACAGTACCGGGCTTGAGGGCAGCTATTTGCGCAGCTATCGGGAGTCAGTCGCGCGTGTAAAGGCTTAAACTCGACCGGGTTACGGGGCGGGAGGTTCGGCGTTTGCCAGGAAAAAACTGTCCCGCAGGGCCGGCACCACCTCAGGAATCGTCGCAAACCTCAATTAAAGACAATATGGCAGATGAGAGAGAGCGACCACAACCGCCAGCAAGAGCAATTCGCTGCTTTTCCCCCCCAGATTTTGTTGTGATAGTGGATTTAACATCTGTGGGGTTTAACAGCTGATTCAGAGGAAGCCGCATGGTGCTCCGGGGGAGGTTTGGGAATGAGTTCTAAAAGCTTGAAAGGAGGATTCCTGCACTTTGGGTTCTCTTTTGATTGTGGGTTTTTTGAGTTTGATGCTTAGAACAAGGTCTGTGGAGAGAACGCAAGCTTCCGGGGTTTTAACGGACAGTTTCCCTGCGGCACTTCTGACATTTTGGAGACTCTACAATTGTTAAAAATAATCAAACGGATGAAAGGATGCAAATATTCGCAAACTGCGGCTCAAATGCAACGAACCCGAAAAACATCTTAGCGCAGGATCCACCCTTTGAGCAAAACCCCATTTGTGCATCTCCGATTGAGACGCTCATTAGAGACATATATTTTCTCATCGCACCAATCCCTTAATCCTCAACGGGAGCGAAGACGACCTTTTGCGTCTCGTGAGTGGTCGTTATCGCCGGGTTTTTAGTTTGGCTGCTCCGACCGACTCGACCCCCCCCCCCCCCCCCACACCCAGCGGTTGTGCAGAGCCCGCCCGCTTAAACGTTAAGCCGCGCTTAAGCGCTCCTCATCTCCCCTAATTGGGGAGTAATTATTGTCTCGGGGGCCGGCCGCTGCTGGCAGAGGCTCGCTGCTAATGGACTCCCGGGGGAGGGACAAGCAAACTAGGAGTTCGAAAAATTATTATCGAATGCGTTTCTTTTAATGCCGACATGCCTCGCCGATCGGGGGGGTGAGGAGGAGGGGGGGGGGTGTCAATCGACAGGAATAAAAGGTTGAAGCCCCGGGGCGGAGAGGGATCCATTCCGGTCGATGAGCGGCCACGTGGCGAGTGGGGTGGAGCCGCGGCGCTTTAATCGCACAGTAACCCTCGTACAGCGAGGCATGTCGGTTGTGTATGCATATAATATATATATATATATATATATATATATATATATATATATTATATGTATACACAAGCCGCATGCCTCGCTGTACTATATATATATATATATATATATAGCTGTTATGAATTAAATGCTCTGTTTCTTCATTCCTCCCTGGAAGGAACTGGTTTAGTATTACTTTGGCACTGGTTATTAGGTTTGACTGTACAGGTACGACTACCTGTCGGTACTCGGTCGCGTGTTTAAAGCACATGTACGTTCCATTTATAGGAAGGAAGTATCAATAAAGTGCAGCGTTTAATATCCTTGAGAATACGTAAACTCCTCAACAGATTTAATGCGTTGTGACCTTAATTGAATTCCCTTAAGTCCGAAACCCTTTTTGTTTAAAAGAAACTGGGATGACTTGCCCAGAAGTTCAGAACAAGTTCCTGAATGATTTAATCTCCAAAATGTGATTTATCTGCTTTGGAAGATTTGTGCAATACTAAAACTTTTCCACAAAACTTTGGCGCGCGCGTTCAATGTGGATATATCGCTGAGACTGAACGCTGAGCCGGCCAAGATGGCCGCCGGTTGGACGAGGGCGACTGCGCAGATTCTTCTGAATTTTTTTGTGCATCTTTTTGAGGGACAGCAAACTGTGTGTGTGTGTTTTCTTCCCTGGCTAAACACAAACCACATGTGGAACGAAACCTCGGGCAGGCGCTGGTGTTGCGAAGGCATCGTGTCCCCCAGTGTGGGCCCAGATTGGGGCGGGTGGGGGGGTTACAGATGGTGAGGGACGGTTGAAGAGATTTGAAAAAGAGGAAAACGGGCCCACGTGGGAGCGACAGATTACAACGACTGCCGGGGGGCCCGCTCTCTTTTCTCCCCCCCCCCCTCGGATGCATGCTAGGACCCCCACCCTCCCAAAAAAAAAAAACCTCCACAGCTGTCTCCTGTGTGGTGGCCTGGTATGGCAGCAGAGGTGGTTGAGACGGGGGCTTAGAAGCTGGGGGTCTGCGTGCTGGGGCAGTGAGATCAGAAACTTGAAACGGAACCCAGCGAGAGGCGCTGACTTACAGGCCGCGGTGGCTAACCAAGGGGAGGGATTCTAATCGGAATCTCGCAACCGAATACCAAACAGAAAGACGTCGAGGAAGTGTTCCTCCACCCTAGTAGAAATGAGAGGCGGTGGTAGCGCTGAACCTTTTGGTTTTGTATTAGTGCCCCGAACATGAATCTTTAACCCACTAGAATCTAAAACTATGAGTAGTGCCGTGCTTTGATACTGAACTGATAACATCTACTATGGAAGACCTACCTCCTCTTTGGAATTAGTTTGACAACCGTAACAATAACCAGCCACTCAGTGCAGGAGCTGTCGATATCCCTAATAAATCGCACCCTTATACCCCCTGAACTCCGAAGGGAGGCACAGATCCGCCTCAAAGCCAATGAGCTACATTTAAAAACCCAGTGGGAGGAAATGAGGTAAGATGATGGCCTCCTTGTATACGGTCAATGGCATCGGGAGGGTTGGGGGGGGGGGTAAATGAATGGCATGAATAGACGGCGGTGGCTCTCGAGCCTCGCGTCGCACTGAAAGCTTCATGTGTGGTCGCGGTGAAAGTGAGGTAAACAGCCGGCGTGAATAAGCCAGTGTAAGTTGTTTTTCAGGTCGCTCAAATAAGGGGCACGTTCCAGGTACCGCGTGTGGACTCTTTGAACCGGTACACACCTTCCGTCAAGGTTGAGTGTGTTTTTTTTGTTGTTTTCTTTCTTTCTTCCCAGGCAAGGTTCGCCCTCATTCAACCGGGGACGGGTTCAAAGCGTTATTACCCCCAGGTGTGTATTTGGGTCACGTGCCCGTGTTCCCCCGAGGGCTCATTATGTCGTAAAGGGACAACGGAAGCTGACCGGCTTATGACCCCAGTAGAGGAAAAATGAAATTAAAATAAAAGGTACCTTGTTAGCTGAGCAACCGCCACACACACCGGAAGACAGCCACGGGCAATCTATAATTCAGATGCTCTGTGCAGGATCAACCCGAGCGTTATGCAACTCTGAAGGACCCTCTAATGGTTCGAGGGGTCCGTGGAAAGCCTCTTAAAGGTTTTCAGAGCCTTCTGAGATTCGCCGATGAGCACCCTGAGTGGCGACTGAGATCAAGGCTGTTTGAGTGGAGGAGTCGCCGTTGAGGGCACAGCTGAAGTTTAAGGCTGCGCTGCGGTCGGAAAAAAACAAACGGCCACCAAAAAAGACGCGTTATTCGCTGCTCGAAAAAGATGCGATTGGTCCTCAAGGAACCGGAAGTCTCGAGAAGCAGCGAGTCGGAAGTTTGGTTATACAATAAATGCAGGACTGATAAGACTCTATTACAAGAAATCATAAAAATACTCTAATATACTGTATACTACTATACTAATACTGTAATAGGCTATTCCTCCCCCACCCCCCTCTTCTATCTCTTTGCAAATTCCTGCTGTCCCCAAATCCCTTTTATTCCAAATTTACAAAAAAAAAAAAAAAACACCCCTTCCTGTTGTAAATCTAAATCGAGGAGGCACACGGGACTTCTTGCACACAGAGAAAAGCAGTGCATGAAACAGCCCTGCATGGCCTTGTGAGTGAGTCATCTAATACACGGGGAGGGGGGGCATCGCCTACACACACACACACACACATGCATCCACTAAGCCACAGCCGCCAAGGCTTCCAACAAAACATCTATTCTAAGTCTCTTTCAAGTTGCGCGCGACCGTCCCAACTTTTGGGAAAGCAAGCTGGATGGAGACACGTCAGACCTCCTTCCCCCCCCTCCCAACAAACTCCCGGGTTGTTTGTCACAACAGAAGCTCGGCTGATACGGCGTCCGCCGTGCACGCCGAGGCTTCTCGTCTACATATGGTTGTCATTGTAGGATTTGCGGCGCAGCCGTTTGAAAGGGAGAACAAACGCGCGCAGACATGCGATCATATATTTGTCGTTCTGTGGTCCCGGTGCACTGTGATTAGGAGGATCGGACCCAAATCATTGCTCAAAGTGGAATTCCGCACAAACTTTGAGAAAATCTGATCTCTCAACTCTGTGACTTGTCAGAAAGATCTCCAATGCTCCAGATGTGGCGGTCTTATTAATGCAGGTGCTCATTACTGCACAAAGAACTTCCTGTTCCCACAAAGGGAGCAGGTGAGCGTCCCTGTCACTTTTTTTTTCTTTTTCGGTCCTGATTCCGCAATGGATTTGGCATGCTCAGGCACAACCGTGTTTAAGGGATACTTTACTTTGTGAGTCACATTGCGGTGTTTCTATAGACTCATAGATATGAGGTACATTGTGTTCTTTCAGAGCTCCTGCTTAAGACTTAAGAACAAGAATCAGGTGACTTAAAACACCGAACGTGCAGCTAAATGTTGTACTGAGTAGTAACCCTGTTTTGTGTTGCCGCAGTAATTCACTGCAGTTTGAATACAGAAACACAAAGGGTGAATGGACTGCCGGTAGCCCGGCTAAAAGACACTAGATTTTATTAGTTTACACAGTCCATTTATTGTCAGTAGAGCAGCTCCAGAAAATGGCACTCGAAGAGCTCATTAAGTGCTCTGCTCTTAGGTTTCTGACCATCTATTGGCATTGTTTGCTTTGGTTTTTAGGAAAATATTCACTTGTCAAGCATTTTTCCGGGTTGGTTTCTTTTTCCACAACGGATGCTTTTCTTTCAAAGTCATCCTCTCTCGTGCAGGGTTTCATTTGTCAACTGTTTCCTAATCCCACGCTGGTACGCAGGCTTGTGTGAGTGTCAGGATGTCTGTGCGCGGCTGACAAATGACGCCCCAGGTATGGAGCCTGCGGGTCTCACATGCTCATGCATGCTCTGTTTGAACTCCAATCTCTGTTGAAAATCAGCGAGAAGCTCAATATCAGCAGATGGATTAGATTATACAGGTACCATGTCCTGCGCTAACAGGTAAATACTGGTGACTTTCCTTTATTCACAGGTGCCTGAAGGTCATGTGAGTGCGTCGTTGTAACCGGCACTCTTCATAAATCCTTCTCTGTTTGATAACCTCCATGTTTTCTCCAATCGAATCGTATCCTCCTCCCTCTCTACTCCCCAAACCCTTTTTTTAATCCCCTTCTGCTTTCCCCCCCCGTAGGTAAGAACCCCACTGACAGCTGCGAAGGGGCCGACTACGGAGTACCCAATCCCGGGCCTGCGTTCAAGGAGGTGTGGCAGGTGAAAGTGTGGCCCAAGGGCCTGGGTCAAGCCAAGAACTTGGTGGGCATCTATCGCCTCTGCCTCACCGACAAGACGGTCAACTTTGTCAAGCTCAACTCTGACGCCGCCGCCGTGGTGTTGCAGCTGATGAACGTCCGGCGCTGCGGCCATTCCGAAAACTTTTTCTTCGTCGAAGTTGGCCGCTCCGCCGTGACGGGCCCGGGCGAGTTCTGGATGCAGGTGAGCCTGTAATCTGGTCCCCATATTGTGGAGAGTTGCACCCTCTATGAGTGAAGAGCCTATAATCAACAGATTCGGGGGAACTATAAAGTTACTCAACGTTGTGGTTAAAGCTCTCGTAACCCCACATTATGGTCCAATTCAGAAAGGTCTTTGCTTGACCATAAAATGTGTATTGTTTGGGGTTCAATTTTGTTTAAATAGCCCCAACACTGAAAAAGCCCTTTAACTTTAACTTTAAAAGAATAATGGCGCTTTTGTTCTTCATTGAACTTAAGTGCCGAAAATCAACGCGCCATCTAATTAGAGGTGTTGAAATTTTAATGTTTCATTTTGGTGTTTGTGTGACACAGCTGGTCTCACACACTCACACGCGCGCGCACACACACACACACACACACGCACACAATTTGCTGCTGAATGTCTTGTGTTGACAGCCTGTGTTCTTTGCGGATAACTGTCTGTATTATGTTATTACCTACCATAAGTTTTTAAAACTCACTCTTAAACCAACACTGCTACTACACATTAAAACCAAATTTCATTAAAATCCAAATATGTCTTTTCCATGAGAATTAAGAATTTCAAAGAATATTCCATTAAAATTCTCTCAGTGGTTTAATTTCTAATTTTACGAATTCATTTACACATAACCTAACCTGAATAATGGTTTGAGTTCACAGTTTTTATTTTCTTGTGTCATGCGTTAGGTCGATGATTCCGTGGTGGCCCAGAACATGCATGAAACATTGCTGGAGGCCATGAAAGCCCTGAGCGAGGAGTTCCGCCAACGCAGCAAGTCCCAGTCGAACTCTGGGCCCGGAGGAGGTGCTACTGCTTCCAACCCCATCAGCGTTCCCTCACGACGCCATCACCCGAACCCTCCTCCCAGCCAGGTGGGCTTCAACCGCCGGCCCCGGACGGAGCCTCCAGGAGGAGCCAACGGTGGGGCGGGGGGCGGCAGTGCCAGTGCTTCTCCCACCCCGCGGCACAGCTTCCCAAGGTCTCGGACTGCAAGCGATGGGGGAAAAGTTGAGGAGGGCATGGTAGGTCCCACACCCCTCCAAGGGACTTGCTCCCGCCCTTCCACCAATGGCTCGTGCTCCACCACCCCGATCCTCAGGTCGAAATCCGCCCGTTCAGTCCCGACCTCGGCTGCTAAAACTCCTCTTGGGTTGACACGTTCCATCTCCACCCCAGCGCCCTCACCAGCCCCGAGCCTCTCCTCTAGCTCTGGGCACGGCTCCGAGTTCGGGGTCGTGACATCTGCCGGTGCTGCTACGGGGTCCGCCACCTACAGTCGCGTCCCCTCGCGTCACGCCTCCGTCTCGGGCTCACCCAGCGACTACGGCTCCTCGGACGAGTATGGCTCAAGTCCCGGGGACACGCTCCTCCCCTCGCCGAGCCTACCCGGAAACTCCATAGGCAGCGCTGGCAGTCAGTCCCTCGGCGAGGAGGGAGCCAACTATATCCTGATGGGCCAGCGGAGTGGTGGTGGTGGTGTTAGCAGTAATGGTGGTGGTGGTGGCAACAGCAACCAAGGGGGCGTAACATCCAGTTCCCTGCCAGCACCAGTAACACCAGCCTGTGGCTCCCAGTCCCAGACCAGAAGGGTTTTGCGCCGTTCCTCCAGCCGCGAATGCGAAGCCGAACGTAGGCTGCTGAGCAAGCGGGCTTCGCTGCCTCCGATGGCGCTGGAGAAGCTGGCCCCGTGTCAGCGCCGAGCCGAGGAGGCAGCAGATGAAGATTCTGCCGATTACGCCGTCATGTCCAGGAGCACCAGCCGCGAGTCTTTTGCGTCCACCTCCTCCACCCCGCAGAGGGAATCTGCCGCGGGCTCTGGGTTGGCAGGGTTTGGAGGTGGCTACTTGGATGTGGCGGGTGAGTTCAAGACGGATGTGGGCGCAGGAACAAGTGGTGGTGTAAATAAAGGCGTGGACACTGGGTACATGTCCATGCTGCCTGGCGTCACTCAGCCTCCGGTCTCCCTGTCCCAGTCGTTGGCTGTCTCCGTCCCAGACTCCGATTCTAAACCCGGCGACGACTACATGGCCATGACCCCCAATAACAGCGTGTCCCCGCCGCAGCAGATCCGACCTCCACCAGCTTCCGATGGCTATATGATAATGTCCCCCAATAGCAGCTGCTCCCCTGACCAGCGTGGGGGTCTCTCTGGAGGAGCCTGGATGGGCAGTGGAAGTGCAGACAGCAGGGCGGGCAGTGACTATATGAACATGTCTCCAATCAGTGCACGTTCTGTAAACGGCAGCCCCCCACCATCTGAACTCCCCAGTCTTCTGGAGACGAGTTCTCAACAGCAAGCCCCCAAGATGGTATATTCTTACTATTCTCTTCCCCGCTCGTACAAACACAACCCCTCCGCTGGACATTTCGACGATGGCCCCGGACGAGGCAGAAGGTCCAACGGGAGCTTTACCCGGGGAATGGGCGGAGGGAGGATCGTGGGAGGGCGTCAGGAGCCAACGGCAGCCGGCGGTTCAGCGGTCGGACGCCACCTGTCACTCTCCTCTTCATCGTACTCTTCAAGCTCAGCCAGCAGCGAGAGCCTCGGGGAGAGCGAGGACCGAGCAGCCCAGGCGGCGGCCGCCATGGCGGGGGGATCTCAGTCCAAAGATGCAAGTATGCTCCAGCAGAAACGTGGCTCTGGTGGGTTGTCCAAGCAAGGTAGCCACAGTAGGAGCAGACCGGTGAGCCTGTTTGTCGACGTATCTAAGGCTAACACCCTTCCTAGGGTCCGGGAGAACCCGCTGCCCCCGGAGCCTAAGAGCCCTGGGGAGTATGTAAGCATCGAGTTTAAGGGGGAGAAGAGCAGCCTGACTGCAGTTGGGAGAGGGCGAGGCAGGGGTCTCAGACATGGCTTATCGCTGCCTCACGGCTCAAGCATCAAGCATCCTCAACACAGGCCAATTTCTTGCTTGGGGAACTTTATCCCCCTCTCCCGCAGCCCGTCTGCCCCCATCACCCCGCCAGCTGCTTCAGAGTATGTCAACATGGAATTGGGACCTTCTCCGTCCCCCTCACCCCTCTCCCACACCACTCTTGTTTTCCCTTCCTTCCACACCCCTCCCACGCCACCCACTCTTGCTCATGCTCCTAAACCTTGTGATGAGGGTACTGCCAGCCCTAGTGAAGAGGGGTCCGGAGTGGCCAAAGCCCCTCAAGAAAAGCAGAGGGAGTGTCCCATCAGTGTCCGAGTCGCCAACACCCTGTGGGGACTACACAGACATGTCTTTAGCTTGAACAGCAACGCCGTCCCTAGGTCATCATCCAGCGCTCCCCCAAAGCCCCCTCCCCTACCAGGACCGATCCCTCCGTTGCAGTGCTATCACGGGGCTTAGACTTCCCCCTTGCCAAACCTGGACCCAACCCGGACCATGGGGCTAAAGTCATCCGGGCGGACCCCCAAGGCCGCCGACGGCACTGCTCGGAAACCTTCCTTCCCTCGCCTTCCCTCCTCGCCCCAACCTCCACCTCCTCTTCCTCTACTGCCTCCCTCTTCCCGGAACACCCCCAAGCTGTGGCCCGCCGACTGGGCTTTGAGAGCATGTTGTGGGGGAACGGGGCCGTGGCCGACAACTCCGCTCAGTTCGCCGTGCCCGGACAGCCGCCCCTTCCCACAAACCCTCAGACTTCGTCCACAGAACAAGGCCTCAACTACATAGACTTGGACTTGGCCAACAAAGAAGGCCCCAATTTGGGCCCGGACGGACCGTCTGGTAGCGGGGCCCCCTCTCGCCTCTTCTCCGTACTGGGTGGAGGTTCTGGAGTCGTAGGAGTGGGTGCGGCGGCAGCAGCAGTCGGCGGCAGCAGCAGCTCGACACTCAACACTTACGCCAGTATTGACTTCTACAAGTCAGAGGAGCTGCGGACTCATAAGAATGGAAATAAGGAGGGAACAGGTAAATGTTTCCATTATTCTAAAAACACATTTCTTAGACTCTGTTCGGCATCACGTTTTGTCTCTTCTCTCCTTTCTCTTCCTTCTCTGTGACGTTAGGCCAAAACACATGGTGGTAATCAAAGGCCACCTGGCGCCAGGTAGTCTCGATTTGATTTGTATGACGGCGTAATCCATACTGTGAGATGTAGATTGTCTGCCCTGAACATTCATAAGTAAGTTTCTTCATAAGGCATACGCACACATCTTACATGACTTATTTAGTTATGTTAGGTGCTAAAGGCCAGACATCGATTTTCCCTGATATGACTATTGATCCCCTCGAGACCAACGTTTGTGGGCATATTCAGGTGACGTTCTGTTATAGAACTTTGACAAAGTGGCAGAATCTTTCTGCTCCAGATCCATTATTGGAAAAAGCTTTTGCAAACAGCTCAGCGCACATGAAGCAGGGTAAACGATTTTGGCGCGCCAGTTCTCTTTTCAAGTTCAATAAAGTTGAACTCCGGCCCTGTTATCTGTCGACCTGATTGTGACTTGAGTAGAAGAAACCAATGGAAGAGTTAAAGATTGTTCCATGAATCAGATTTTCTTTTATTTTTAGTTCCTGGAACCGTACATTCATTATGATGATGTAATGGTGAATAGTATGTAAGCATGGAAGTGGGGTCGCCAGGTTTCTAGATGTGGCAATAAGAAAGTTTTTTTTATTTGAACATGGCTTAACCCGAGCAGAAGGCTGCAATGGTTCAGTTTAACCACGAACTACGAAGGGCTCTCTCTTTTTTAAAATGCGTGCATAGAAACATACTTTATTGTTTCGGAAGGGAGGTCAGTAAGGCCAGATGATGAATTTTCATTGTATGTCATTTTTTCTCCTGCTGTGTGGGGGAATTCTGTAGCGGTGGGGGTCCACCACGGCGAAACAATGCCCCAACTAGGTCACCGCGAGACGTTTCCTCATAGAAAAACATTCTCTTTGAGCCACTGTCTGCACTAAATGGGCCCGTTAAGAAATTGCCGCCTGCAGATGGAGAGGCATTTAAATGGAGATGTGGATTTATATGCATCAGTAAAACACTCCGTAGTCTTACTTCGCCTTCCCACAGTGGGGCTCTTGTGATGAATGCATCCTGCCAAGACTTGTTGTTTATGCAGCCCTGCTCGCTTCCACTTGATTTGTACGTAAGGTTGTCCCAGACCTCAAGCCTCACGGGGCTCTGGGGTTAACGTTTCATAGCCCCGGCTCCCGAGTCGGATTTAATAAAGAATTTGAGGCATTAGCTAAAATTCATTGAGGGATCTTGTGGTGAGTGCAGTGCGGCTGAGCTCAACAGTTAAAAAAAAAGAAAAAAAAAAAGAAAGATGTTCCCACACATGGTAAATGAACCATCCTTCTGCATGCACATGTAGCCCATTAAGGGTTTTATTGGGAGGGTTGAAGCCTGTGTTGGTGGACGGGGACAACGCTGCTGGGTGTATTTCAAATGTGTAACCAACCCGGCTGGCCCAGTGGGAGCATATGGGTTTTGGCTGCGGAGGATGTCAGCGGGGCGGCATGGGGGGGGGGGGGGGGGCAGACAATGTTGCACGTTGGCTGTGAATGTTTAGATGGGGCCAGTGTTTCACTCGCACAGCTCTCGAATGCCTCTGTACAGTGTGTGTGTCCCCCCCCCCCCCTCTCCTTTCATCCCTCTATTCCGCCTCCCCCTCTTTCCTCCTCCAATAAACGATCCTTTTGTTTGAGTGTGTTTGCCGCCGGGGGGCTGGCGGGCCTCGGCCCCCGAACACCGGCGGACTCCCGCAGAATCCGCTTAATTCGGCTTCGTTCAGCTATAAAAAAAGTGCATGCAACAACAAGGGGTATACAAAAGTATATAAAAGGAAATATATGTAAGAATAAAAGCAACAACAAAATTATTTAAGAGCTAAAAAATAGGAATATATGACAATTTTATATATATGTGTATATGGAATAAAAGTGCTCTCCTAAAAAGAGTTTCCATCCAGCTTCCCTTTGCTCTTTGTTACTTATTTAATGTACTGCGCTCGGCCTCCTCGTCCGACATCCAGTCTTGACAGATTTTTGAAATTCCTTCCCTCCCTTCTGTTCACTACACACATTGTTTTTTTCCTCCACCCCCCCCCCCCAAAAAAACGCCTCTTGTCCTCCTTCCCTTTCACATCGTGTTTCACTTGATCCTTTAAACGCTTGCAGGGACGCTTGAAAAAGGACTTGAGACGTCTTCCTTTTTGCTGCAACTTTGCCTAGTTCACAGCAACTAGAGGCAGAGACAGACAGACAGACAGACGGTACATGGCGACCGATCCGTCCGCCCCAACAAGCAGTTCAGAAACAATGAATTATCTTGTCTGCGTGGATCCCCTGCGCTTTTTTTCTTTTAAGCGTTCTGCTGTAATTACAGGGATCTCTTCCCCTTAACAGGAATCGGCTTGTATAGAAAAAGAGTTAGTGTGTGTGTGTGTGTGTGTGTGTGTGTGTGTGTGTGTGTGTGTGCGTCTCTCTCAGGTCTGCATTCTTTTGACACAGAGGGCCAAAGGCTAAATTGTAACGTCAGCGGCGGGACGTCGGCCAAAGAAAACCCTATTTGACACTGTTTATGTACGTGTAAAAATAGCCTCGCGTGATTTGGATAAAGAAACGCAGGAGGATCTATTTCGCTCTGATTCACAATATTTAAGAAAACAAATAAAGCAAATGTTACTTCTGTCTGTTTTGCCTCCCCGAGGCATCAAGTCGAGCCTTTGTGTGGAAAATACAAGCGTTATTGTGTCTGCTTTTTATTGTGGCGTTGGCGGGTCATGTAGCCGCGTGCCTCTTTTTGGTGCCCCCCTCCCACATAATGAGTGTTGTCGACGTGACCTTCATTAAAATTAGCTTAACAATTAGAAAGGACTTTTTGGGAGAATTTGGGATAATTGGATCAAATCAGCCACCACTCCCACAAACTCTTCCCGAGGAAAACCCGAGAAGTTAGTGATCGGGGGCCTCCGGCTGTCGCTGAACTCTATTTCTCCCCCATCTGCAGGAGGATATCTGTGCCAGCCTCAAAATAACCTGTAGCTCTTTTTAAAGCGCCTTCCCCCGAGGAAGGCGCTTCTGACGGGAGAAGCATGAATATTCATTTAGCCGGAAACGCTGTTGTTCACCAAAGTGGGAACGTTCACATTTGTTTACGTGTGGCTGAAAAAAAGCCACGAATCAGTAGCTCAAAACTATTATTAAGTATTTGTAAATGTTTTCTCGTGTACGTTTCTGACGAAATGCCAAGATGTTGAAGGAATGAAACTGATCTTCGTGGATTCTTTAAAGGGTTCAATGCTATGTATTTTAGAAATAATGGTTAATTTAAATACTTTACGCGATCAAATCTTCCATCGTGGTGTCTATTCTGTACACGCATAGCGGTTTGTATTTAGATGTTGTGTAATTTGGCTTTTTATGGAACTCCCACTAATAACAAAATGACAACTCAGATTGAACTTTAACTACACAGAAATAAATCTACGTCCGTCTGTCAGAGAGAGCTTCTCCATGCTGGAAATCGTACGGGATAATTTGGGTTTATTACGACTGGGACTCGGTATCAGTTTGGCAATAACAGAGTACTCAATTAAAGCGCAGCAAAAGGAGCAGTGGAAGGATCCGACCGACCTCGGGAGCCCACTGCGTCTTTTTAAAACCGCCAAATTGGCTGTTTAACTGAAAGTGAGTGAACTGCAAATCTGATTCTTACAACCTTCGCTCCCTTGCATAGTTCGTTGACACCTTACACACGTACGTACACACATCCGTTCCTCCACCAAGAGAAGCGCACTTGTCTTCACGCAGCTGACAGACTTGTATTGTGTGTAATGTGGTGCAGCACCAGTAGCGTTATGTCACACGGCGCCGCTCCCCTTTTTCCCCCCCAGATCAAGGGAGTCCAGCCGCAACCTATTTAGTGAATGAAAGCGACCAGCTAACGTCCTGTCCGAGCTACTTATTAGCCTGCCAGACGCTGGTTCTCTGCTGCGGTTTACTCAACTGTGTGACTGTGGAAATTTTTTTTTTTTTAAAAGCTGAGAGGCGGCGCGCTGCCGCTTGTTATGATCACACCGTCCACATTAAGGGTGGAAATTAGTTTTAAGAAATGTCTCCGCGTCCTCGGCCCACAGAGGGACGAGCAGAGCGGCCTGGATCCTTTTTCCTCGCCAGTTTGAGTAAACCAAAGCCATATTTATCTTTTGTTTAATACCCCCCCCCCCCCCCTACATTTAGATCGGTTCCTGTGGAAAATAACACAAGGGAGTTTGTTTCTCTTAAAGTCAGGAACGTTTTGGTTTTTCTGAAGTCCAGTTCGCTTTGTTTTGGGTGGTCTGTTCGGGGAGTCGCTGGGCCTCGCACCGCACATAGCAACAACTCTCCTCTGTTTGCACGCACACTATTTTTTTTATTTTTTATTGGAGCACTCGGAAGGCTGAGGCGTTTTCACTTCAAGCGCCAACCGGCTGATGTGGTCACCTGCGTGTGCGGCGGCGGCGGCGGCAGCGTCGACTCATTAG